CTGTCTGTCTGTCTGTCTGTCTGTCTCTCTGTCAGCCCGTCTGTCTGTCGGTCTGGCCTGTCAGTCTGTCAGTCTGTCGGTCTGCCGGTCTGTCTGTTTGTCTGCCTGTCTGCCTGTCTGTCTGTCTGTCTGTCTGTCTGTCTGTCTGTCTGTCTGTCTCTCTGTCAGCCCATCTGTTTGTCGGTCTGACCTGTCAGTCTGTCAGTCTGTCGGTCTGCCAGCCCCTTCGTCTGTTTATTCGTCAGATTGCACGTCATCCAGTCGGTGAGAGAGTCGACCTGTCTCGCTAGCCACCCCGTCGGTTTGTCGGTCCAAATGTCTGCACGTGCTTCTGTCACAATGGGTTAGATTGTCGGTCCGTGGATTTGTCAAAATGTCGGTCGGTGTGTCTGGCGACCGTCCATGAATGTCTGGTTGTCTGGCTCCCCTTCCCTGCAGTTAGCCCCTCCCTAAAACCGCTCACATCATCCACTTCCCTCGTCTCTCTCTCTCTCTCTCTCTCTCTCTCTCTCTCTCTCTCTCTCTCTCTCTCTCTCTCTCTCTCTCTCTCTCTCTCTCTCTCTCTCTCTCTCAATCTCTCTCTCTCTCAATCTCTCTCTCTCTCCCTCTCTCTCTCTCTCTCTCTCTCTCTCTCTCTCTCTCTCTATCTCTCTCTCCTTTATCTTTCGTCTTCCCATTCATTTTGCCCGGAAAGGTCCCTCCATTGCGAGTGGTGTCGATTGTTTACATAACACGAGAGGAATCACGATTGTAAACGATCAGTACGATAGGTGTCCAGCGCGCCGCACTCATAATAGCATGTCGCCGCGGTAGACGGAAGCGGTCCCCGCAGTCGAGCAGAAACCGCGCCGGGCCGGCGCCCGCCCCGATAATCCTCACCGTCCGCTCGGTTCGCGGCGGCGTCAGGGTCATTAGCGCATACCAGCCGACCGGCGCCGGGACAGGGTACACCGCCGTTTGGTCGGGGAGACCCCAAGAGGGGAGCAGCGGACGGCCGTGCTGTATGGACGGCTAGTGACTCCAGTCCAGTTAGCCCGCTGCCGAGTTCGCTGCCGAGCTGGCCGACCGAGTTGACAGGTGGTCCAGCGCGACGGCCACCCCTGAGTGACGTCACTGTGGCCCGGTGACGCACGTCACCGATCGTCGCCAAATATGCTCTCCGCGCCACCCCGTGGCGTAATAGAGCATCACTCCTTCCTGGAGACGGTCCAGAGGGCCACCCTATACAGACTGGCATGGCGCCCCGCGCCATTCTCAAGCTGAAGGCAGCCGCCCGACCCCAGCGCGTGGTCATTAAAGGGGATTAACTGCCAGCGGGGAGCAGGGCCCGTCTCAGAGGGGCGGCGGTGGTGCGTTATGGGCCGCTACTGGTTCTATCCCAGTAAAGGGCTGCAAAGCTCACTGCAGAGCTGGCCGATCGCTGTCAGGGGCGTGACATCTGCCCTCAGGCAATGTGAAAGGAGATTTTGTCGATCGGTGCCCTACGGGGCTATGCAGGCCGCTCCAATTGTGCACTTGACGGGTGCTATAGCCCCGGCCCACGCGTGCTCTCCCGGACCGCGCCCACTATTCATGGTGACCAAGGAACTCACGTCGATCACCCTCGTGACGTCATGGGCCTAATGCCAACAGTGCCCTCAGATGAGTGACGTCATAGGCCCGGAGCCCTCGGTACGTCGCGCTAATCGTGCCATTCATATGCATTTACATTGGAGAGTAGGAAAAGGACTCGTTTGGAACCTTTGATGACGTCATCGGATCCACTCCTGCCTTGACCATCGATAAGTGACGTCATTGACACAGGACTCTTGACATGCCGGTGCAGAGTGCACCATTCGTACGCGCTCGCGTCTGAGGACAGTTAAAAGCCTCATCCCGACCCTTTGATGACGTCACTGGGTACAGTTCGAAAACCCGGTTCAACGTCCGATGTGCGTGCTAACATGGTCGCAATTAATGTTTTTTTTTTTGGACAGGTTACTTTAGGATGGATTACGAGCCAAGTATGAGATGAGTGATACAGATATCGGGTACATTGGGTGGCGTAACGTTTAGGGGCTGCGAGGCTGTCTATGCATGTGACACCCCTGTGTGTGATAAGCTCACCGACACGGTTGTCTACACTTACGGGTGATGGGAAACAGAGACGGGTTATTGTCTGGGTTGAACGATTGAATATGCAATTATGATTGATCAGATGGCATTCGGGCCTAAGCTCACTTTAAACGTGCGAGTTGGATTATTGGCTAAAGCATCAGTGGTAGGGGGCGTTTAACGTTGGTGATTTAGAGCTGCTTAATTTTAGCGATTGGTTTGTTCCGGAATGATAGGTTAAAACGGCTGGGTCACAGAAGAATTACTGCTTTCTGAATAGGTTTGGTCGGAGAAGGATCTTGTGATGTGTGATCTGGTGACCTGGAAACTGATCTGATGCGGTAAATAAGTGGCAAGGGAAATAAGCATGTATAGAGGTCGGTTCGGGGAACGCCATGAGGGCGCTAGGGACGCCATGAGGGCGCTGGGGACGCCATGAGGGCGCGGGGAACGCCATGAGGGCGCTGGGGACGCCATGAGGGCGCTGGGGACGCCATGAGGGCGCGGGGAACGCCATGAGGGCGCTGGGGACGCCATGAGGGCGCGGGGAACGCCATGAGGGCTCGGGGAACGCCATGAGGGCGAGCGGGGAACGCCATGAGGGCGCGGGGAACGCCATGAGGGCGCGGGGAACCGGCTTGAGTTCCGGGGCCGACCAGGTAACATTAAATACCACGCGTGCGGAACACGTGAGTGCTGCCAACCGACACTGGCCATGTCGTTGACAGCCACGTAGCCATCGGCGCGCATTAGTCATTTCAAGTAGGATCTCGTTCTACAATGTCATGGCTTTAAACTTAAACAATTAGTATGCTTACATTTAACGAGCTTCTGTACACCACTGGGGGAAGTTAGGAAAATAGGGAGGGATCAGACTGGAAATCTGACATTTTATCTGTATGCAAGGGACGTGAATGAGCGCATGGGTGAAGGATGATCGCGTGGAAGCATGAATGTGTTATATCCAGTGGGAGTTATCCGCCTCCGTGCAGTTGCCGTGATGTCAAGTGTTTTCGGATATCACACCTTAAAAATATGTTTAATGGGGGTCCCAACCGGGTTGAGAGAGAGCCTCGGGCAGTCAACCTGAGTAAATTATCCTCTTTGAATGCCCATAACCCAATGACCCATCACCGTACAGTGTAGCAGCCTATGTGCCCCAGTGACTGACCAGCCTCGCAAATCAATCAACAAACAATAAAATGTCTTGCAGCCGAGCCCCGCTACACTATAACTTGGCCAAAAAAAGGTATCGATCTCAAATTTGGTATGTAGATAGAAGGCGGTAGGGACTATCACATATATTCCGTTTTTTTTTGAAACTCAAAAAACTTTTTGGATTTTTTGGCTATTATATTCAAAAAATCTATTTTTTATTTTTGGGGGTCAAAATCCAAAAAATTCGAAAAACTGAAATAGCAGTTTTGTAGCCCTCTTGGTTCCACACCTTTTATGTCTGAAACATTTTTCTGTATCCCTAAAGCTGTAGGCCTGACAGCTCTTCCCGCGAAACCTTTTTTTGGGTCGAAAATGGCAAAAATGACGTCACTCTGACGTCATTAGCGGCCAATCTATCATAGCCTTTGGAAAAAATTTTGGTCACCATGTGCGCTAGCTGTTCCCGGGAGGGTACTGAAAGTTTGGTGACGATCGGCGCAGCGGTTCTCGAGATATATTGAAAAAACTAAACGGGGGGGGGGGGCAAAAAAATGCCCCCCCCCCCACCGCCTGGAAGCTTAAGCTAGAAATGACCTCAAACTACACAGACGACATTATTTTCGAAATCTACGTGTAAAATGGACCATAAAACATTTGTCACGTGACCGATACATGATATACAATTTTCGTGACCTAGGATGACCTGGCCTTGACCCGAAAAATTCGAAGGAAAAGTTTGGCACCTTCAGGGTATCTAAGGCATATATCAAGGAGTGCGTAAACCAAAAATGAGCCTGATCGGACTTGTCAGCTGGCGGCCAGAGTCTAAATTGCATAGGCGCGGGAACTACTTTCCGACTGGGGGGGCACATCATAATAGAGATCAACCTAGGGTACCCCCAAATCTAGTTTTCTCACCGGTTTTAGGCCACTTGTTTTTCATCCCTCGGCTTTTTCAACAAAAAAGAAAACATTTGCAAAAAAAAGTGTGGTATTCCGTCTCAAAGCTGTGGGGGCACCGCCCCCACGGCCCCAGAGTTGGGGGGGGCAAGCTGCCCCCACTGCCCCCCCGGCTCCCGCGCCTATGCTAAATTGTTAACAAGCAAAAATGCCGATAATTTTTACTTTGAACTGACCTGTGACGTCATTGGTGACCTCGAGGTCAATGAAAATAGGTTTCGGCCGACAGTTTTTACTTTTTCCAGGGCTATCAGATGCCGTTTGAATTTTGACGATCGGCCGGGTAGTTTCGGAGATAGGAGGGGGTGGGGGGCTCTGGAGAGCCCCCCCCCCCCCTCAGTCACTCGCGTAATGTAATCGCGTTATGGAAAATACCCCAGTCATGCGCGAGCTAGATGTCTGTCTGTAGTGGCCTGGTGGCGTCATCTATACACACAACGCATAGACTATCGTCTGACTTACCTAGTGCACGATCAGAAGAACTCCTGCTTCATTGTCGACCGCTAGGTGGCTGACGCCGTCCGGTCCTGCGAGTTCGGCTGCTGTTCCATTTAGTAGATAGTCTCTTAATTCTTCTATACCAGTTTTACTAATACTCTTAGCATTCATTTTACACAAATCATGATGTTTGTCAACAAAAAAGTATTATTTGATATTTTCATAGATAATTTTCTTATCAATGAAAGACGGCAAACATTTATCATCATAGTCTGTATATCTAGTAGTAACTAACACTACTAAAAGCCTGGAACAAGTTAGTAGGACCACACCTGGCATCGGCAGTTGGGAGCGAGAAAGCGGAGGGTGTGGGTGTGTTGTGGCGGTCTCCGGTTGAAATACAGTGGTGCGAGTTTGGATATTGTGCGTGACGCCTCCCTGAAGCGACATGACCTAATAAGGCATGTGGACGAAACGGACAGAACGGAAGCTCGGCGTTGGTAAGTGACATTGATGAGATTCATGTGATTGTGATGTCGCATCTTTTGTTTTGGCTGGGATGTCAGGCGAATGATGAATCCCTTTCGTGCCGGAGGGAGGGGAAGCGCTGCCATTCCTCGAACTGTAGCCATATGTGCTGTTACGTAAGGCAACGCAGTTCTCATAATTCAGATCAGTGTCGCGTTTGAGCTGAAGACAAAAATGAAAGTCGTCAGGGCGCTGTGACTACCAGCTGATCCTACCCGGGGGGCGGGGGAGGGGCTCGCACAGCTGAAGCTGCTCCGGGCACCGCTTTCTTGGGAAACCGCTGAGAGGCCGGAAACTGCCGGCCGGACGACAAATTCGCTGTAACTGGACCACCATTTACCTGGGCCGGGTTCTATCAATCACGTGCCTTATTGAACACGCCTGCTCGTTGTTTGTCGTTCAACCTCGACGGTCTCGACAGTGACGATTGGACAGTGAACTCACATCATCAGATTCCTCTGTCCGCCGTCTGGTCACTGGTGGACTGCTCCTGAACTGACGCAACTGGAACTGTCTCAGTCTGGTAAACGTTCATGGACTGACGCGACTGTCTGGTGGATTTCTCCTGGACTGCCCGCTATCCAGACTGGCTTCAGGGCTGTCCAGTGTTCAGTGTCGACTTATTGACTGAAATGTCGACTTCGGTGGGCCGGCTGGCCTGTCCGTTCCAAGGTGACTGACTGGACTTGCTGTCGGACCAGACTGCGTCTGGTTGGGCGACTGGTGAGCGACTGAGGCTTACATACTGAACTGAAATCTTTGACCAGACTGCTGCTGTCGGACTAGACTGCGGCTGTGAGATCAGACTGCGGGCTCTCAGATCAGATTGTGACTGTCAGACTGGACTGCGGAGTGCGGGCTCTCAGAATGGACCGGGACTGTCAGAATGGACTGTGCTATCATAATGGACCGCGTCTGTCAGACTGGACCGAGTCCTCAGACTGGACTGCTGCAATCAGACTGGACTATGGCTGTCAGACTGGACTGGGGTTCTCGTCAGATTGCGGCTGTGAGACTGGACTATAGTCTCTTAGACTACTTAGACAGCCCTGTCAGACACCGTGACAACCGTCCGACTGGATAGCCCGACTATGCCTGAATATGTCTACAGTCCGCTCATTCAAACACGCATGCAGACAGACATGCGCACAAACAAATAAAGGCACAACAAAACTTCTAAGCAATTGCAAAATCACAATAACCGGAGTCATGGGCTACACGACCCTTTTCTTGAAAAGTGCGGCTTATGTATCGGAATGACCGTGTGTCAGCCTATAAAATATGTTTACTGCAGTGTTTCCCATGACGTACTGTGTGGTAGAAATGTCTGTTCGGTAGAAATGCCACCTCGCCTGTTAACACGTGCGACACGTGCTGGCGAAGGCTCTCGGGGATCACGTTCTCGGGGACGGGGTCTCGGACCAAGACCATGTCCGTGTCAGGTGCGGGGCCGATGGGGACCGGTCCCGGACCTGGAGTGGAGCTCTGGCACCAAATAGGGGGCTGACGGGCCTGAGGTCACCTCTCCTCCTTACTCGCCGGGATGGGTGCATGGTCCTGAGCTCCACAGTATGTACAATGTACATTGCATGTGCACTCAGCACCAACACACATGACTTATGTGAGGGGACTGTTGTAACGAAGATGCTGCTGTGTGTTACTGTAGTGGATTTCACCCATGCTGCACTGTGAAAGCTGCACTGAGAGTGTTGTCTTCCTCTCATAGTCGCTGCTTTGCCCGTTGTCCTCTCAGAGCTGCTGCTTTGCCTGGCGCCCTGACGTATCTCCCCCCTCCCTGACTGACCTCTCTGTTCCTCTGTTTCGGTCGTGTACAGCTGGGGGGGGGGGGGGGGGCTGTGTGCGCCATTGCTGACTACTCTGTCCCGCCCTCTCTGTTCCAGCCGTATACAATACAGCTTGGCGGGCGTGTGCGCCATGACTGACCTCTGTCTGTCTCTCTGTTCCAGCCGTGTACAGCTGGGCGAGCTGTCTGACCTCTGTCTGTCTCTCTGTTCCAGCCGTGTACAGCTGGGCGGGCTGTCTGACCTCTGTCTGTCTCTCTGTTCCAGCCGTGTACAGCTGGGCGGGCTGTGTACGCCATGGCCTGCCTCTGTGTATCGGTGACACCGTACACATTCTGGAGGAGTGTGGCGGATGGTACCGCGGCTACACGGTGCGACACCGCGGCCGGCGCGGCCTGTTCCCCGCCTCCTACGTCCAGCTCAAACCGTGCCGCGTCGAAACGGACGGGTGAGTACCGTTTGCTAGGGCTGCAGGGCTGCAGGGTAGTCCCGTCCGACAGGAAGGAGAGTAAAGGACGGGGTGAGTGCGGTCTCCTGATGCTGGGCCTGCGGGTACTGAATTTAAGGTGGTCCCTTCCGGTCAACTTCCGGTTATGTGAGCACCGTGCTTTGAGGCTGTGCGGACTATGGTAAAAAGGTATTTCCATCAACTCAGCAAAATGGTAGAGTAATCTTAGCTCGGACAATCGGCCATCGGTTTCCACCCAACGCGAACGTATGCGTCGGCCGCAGAGTCGAACGGTCAGGTCGAACGCAGCTGTCAGGTCGAACAGGTCTATCAGCGTGGAGCGCGCGTCGCTGTCCGGCGCCAGCACCGAGCCCGACGGGAGTGGGCGCCGGGCCAACCCGTCCTAGTGGGAGCCGACGGTGTCCGACGCTCGACGGCCGACCGGATGTGTGACGGGGCAAGGGGATGAACGCCGCCACACCGGACAGATCCAACGCGGTCAATCGAAACTGGCTGCTGTTCTTGTTCATTGGCATCGCCCGGTCGTCGATTGAATTGTTCCATTGCAGTGCGTATAGGTACCTACATTACAAAATGAAAAATCAAGTGGATGCGTCTTTTCTATTTTCAACGGCAGAAGCTCTTCCCGATTTATTTGTGAATGCATTGTTTGTGGACATTTTTGTCCTTAGATGCTGTTACTTTCCCGATTTTTTCCGAACTGCAGCTCATTTGACATTTCCCATAATAAATTTATGACTCAATGCGACATCCTTTGGACGGCATGGATTTCCCAGAAAGTTTCTTCAAAGCAGAGTTTCCGTTTTGTTCAGTTTGATTTACGCACGACTCCTTTGGTACATAGCCATTTTAAAGCGATGGCATGTAAAAGATGAGATATTTCCTCGGGAGGTAACGACCAAGTAACTGGCTGGCTTTGTGAGCGTCCACTGCCTACCAGGAAGGGAGACTAAAATGTCTGGAGGACCGTTCAGTTTTGCCTATCGATCTCAGCCTGGAAGTTGGAAACGAAAGGTGAGGCAAAGCATTGAACAGCGGCTAGGAAGGAAGGATGTTGGAGTTATCCACATAGTATTCCAATATCCATTGCCACAAAAGTGTTTGATAGCTATATTAAAGAATGGAGCTGGGAAAGGATTAGGTAAAGATTTTAGCTTGAAGCCGCAGACATCTTCAAACTTCCGCTTGTTTTACCGGATTCTGACAGATCCATAAACACATTTAACGGCATATGGGATGTGAAAAGCGCGCTCCCCAGCTCTGCTCGCTGCTGTTTTGGAAAGATGCGTCGCCGTGATCCAGGACGCCAGCGCAAGCGTTCCCTGTCGTTCACGACATGAGAGTGTGAAAGCATACCTTCACGCTGTCATGCTCTACTGACTACCATACCAGCTCGGTCGGAGTTGACGTAGTCCCGAGCCACCCGCCCACCTTGAACTTGAGTCGCAAGACGTCACCAATGCATGCAACTGGTTTTATGCTGTTGAACTTGTTAGTTAACTTCGTTTTAAGTAGATCTAGGCTTTGTCGTGAAAACCATGCATAATGCTTCCGGGGTTGCGGCAGGCCTCTTCCGTTTTAATGTTGGTATGACATTCGGTGTAAGCAACTGATGTCTTTGTAGCACTGGGAGCGTGCACGCGATGACAGTTTCCGTTTTCCTGTGCCCGTCGCCCTACCCCTCCCCCTCGCCCACATGCCACCACGCCATGGCGTCAGTAGGACAGTCAGCATTCCTGCATTAATGCCACTGCGCACCAGCCGCACGTATCGTTGGATATTACCCCAGCAACGTTGAAGGTCTGCCCTGTTTTGGCTGTGGGGCTTGATCGACAAAGCCTGGTAGCTCCGGGCTCGTATTTATTGGAAACGTGTTGAGCTTGCATACATTGGCCCGAAATATGATTGCATGGCTGAGCACTGGCCAATGATATTAAGTATTGATTACCACCATGGGATATTGAGGTGGTGCGGCGCTCGAAACACATACTCGCACAATACAATACATCCATCGTCCCGTCCTTATAGGTAACCGGAGGCATCAGTGGGAGGGGGAGGGGAGGGAACGAGACCGCTTCACCTGGTACTGCCCTTCACAGAGCCTTCTTTCTCTATGTGATCGGGTCTCCAGGGTCTTAGCTTAGATCTCTGGAATCTGCTGAACCCCACACATCAAAGTCCCCCGCGCCCACAGCCGGCTGGACTGTACAGCTGCGCACCCTCCGGCTCGTCTCAGCAGCCCGAGGCGGCGGCCGGGGGCCTCGTCTCCGCCGCGCCGCTGCTCGCCAGCTAATTGAGTCAGCCTTGGTGGCCCATTGTAGTCGGCAGCAGGACCACTGGAGACGCCCATTGTGGGCGGTCACAGGAGCCGACCACGGGATGTGGGGCAGGAGGGGGCAGACGCCCGCCCAGTGGGGTCAGCGGACACCCGCCCGGCCGAGCTACCACCCCCGGGAGAGCAGGGAGAACGCTCTGTCTCGGAGCTGATTAGCCCGCCGTGTTAGCATTTCTGCTCTGAACTAACTTAGTAATCTAATGGACTATGTTTCTTAATGCCAGAAGTCTCGCTGTAACTCGTTATAACCATGCTTTATAACAGCGTTATATCAGCTGATTACCCGCTGCTGTCCGCGGTGGGTCGACGACATCCGGTCTGGCTAGCGCCAGGCCTGAGTGGCGCGTCTGCCCGACCTCCCCCGTGACAGGCGCCGCGGCAGATGACGCCAATTTATGCGGCAGGCCCGGCCCTGCAAGGCGCTCCAAGGCCGCGCTCGACATGTAGGGTGCAGTGCGGGCCATGCTCCGGAATATGAAGTCATCTGTTTAGCTCGGGACTTCTCTCATTATCACAAATGCGCCGACGCTGGTGCACCATGGAGTAGAAGAGAGACTGGCGGTTCGTATATTGCAGTTGGAGAGAACAGCGTTTCGGTCAGTTGGTCTTGCATCACGTAATCCTTGTTGGCCATGCATTAGGCGTTATCTGCAGAGCTGGTGCTTGACTTCTGTTTTTATATTTTGTTTGGATCTTTTATCAGGGACGCTTCCGCTTCCTCTTCTTCGTTGGCTAATTTTATATATTTTTGTGCGTCTTCCCCGCGTCTGCCAGAGACCCAGCAGTGGCTCGAGGACATTCCGATGGCATTTCTTTGTCAGTTCCGGAGTTGAGAGCGACGACTAGGCAGCAGACGGCCTCGTGACCATCCCAAGCGTGCAAAAACACCGGTCTCTGAGCCTGGCACGGCGGTCCGCTCGGGGGCGGTGACGGGGATGGTGTTTGCTGTGCCCGGCCTGCCACCCTGTCCCTGGTCCTGGTCCTGCTCTCGTTCCTGGTCCTGCCAGGCGGCGCACAGTAAAACCGGCCGGGCAGCCTGTTTTTCGGCCCGGCCACCCTCAGCCACCGCGCCGGCCGCCGCTGCTTTCTCGGTGGGTGGAAACGACCGCCAGTGGCGGGAGGTTTCTCCGCGGACGACCGACGCCGGACCGGGCGGACGGCTGGACTGACAGTTTCAGCGGATGGACAGGCAGCTTCAGCAGCTGGACAGACAGTTTTAGCTGCTGAACAGGCAGCCCAGACGATTGTACCGACGTCTGACAGATTCCGACTGCTGGACCGACAGCTTCATTGGCTGTGCTAGGGGCCGGTGACCGAAACGACTGCTGTTGAGGTTCAGTCAGACTATAGTGACCGGCAAATAGTTGTATTTGTCCAACTGCTGACTTTCCGAGTCTCCTACTCATTTGTCAGCAAGGAGTCACCAACTTGCTGCGTATGCTATTAAATGCCTGAAAAGCTGATGAGACTGTTGCAGCGGGTTGAACTACCGGACTCAATGGATCACCGTTGGGATCGGACAAACTCATGAGCCGACAATGCGTCACCTCATGGGCCCCAGTGTCATCTCCCGTTCTAACCAGGAAATTCCTGCTCTGGCTGCTGCCGCCGCTCAGTGTCGGTACCGGTTCACATCAGTCCAGTTTAGTATTGCAACCTCACCACGTTGCATCGTTCTCCGATGCCGACTATCACTGACAACAGCTAGCTTTTAAACCGATTCTTCCTACAGCTCCCTTGTTCATAACCTCAATTATTGTCTAGCTTGGGACGCAAGGTTCAAACCAACACTCCACAGTCCATTGACATGCTTGGTTATTGGTACACTTCACCTATGGTTCCTCCTCAGTTTGACCCTTGCTTTGCCCCAGTCTACCTGGCATGTCTACCAGCAGCAGCGGCGGCCAGCGGCGGTAATCTAAATCGTGTGCTCCGTACTGGCTGGAGGGGAGGGTGTCCGTGGCCATATTCGATCCGAGAAAGTCCACCCCCGGCCACCTTTCGTGACTGCCGATCGGCGCGGAATGCCAACTGCCGCCTTATCGGGCCCGCGGCGGCGGCGGCGGCGGTGGAGGCGGTTGTGGCGGGTTGATGGTGGTCTGGCGGCGGTGGTGGTGGTCTGGAGGTGGTGGTCGGGTGGGGACGGTGGAATGGTTTCTCCTGGGCACGACGCTCTGAAACAGCGGCTGGTGCAGTGGTGCAGTCCCGGGTAGCGACTGGCGTAGTGCAAGCATTGGGTTGCGACTACTGCACTGGAACAGCCTAAACGGTTGACTAGCAGAGGCCGTTGATGAACACAATCCATCTTCATTTGAAAAAGCTTATCTCTGTTGGACGCTGGAGCTCGCTGCCGGCGACCCGACCCCTGCTCATCACCAGCTACCCGTATGGTGTACTGTCCGCAAGCTGCTATCGTTTCCGTCTTAATTCGTTGGTTACAGCACCAGTACCAATGACTGCATTCGAGTGGCCGCTATCGGCAATCGTCCCACGGAATCTCGGTGGTTTTCGGTCACTTTTGACTCTTGCACCGTCACTGTGACTTGCAGTTCCTAGTGTCTCCGCTCGGCAGAACACTCCGCCACCTGTTCTGTGGCTGCTAGTATGGCGCGCTTGGTGTGATATTTCCAATATTCCGCCTCTGCAGATGCCAGGCAATCCTACACGCCAGCGGCGCCGACATACCGGAGTCAATGCCACTGGCACCTGACACGCAGCACTTCGACCCCAGCCCACCTGCCTCTCAGCGGTCGCCGTCCACTTTCACTGGCTGGCAGCGCCGTAAGATAGGTCAGACAGGCCGCCTCAGTCGACCGGCGTAGAAAGCGAACGTCAAACACTCCTGGCTGTTGCTGACCGGCACCTCATGGCTGCAGGGAGGGCGCCCCTGTCGGTCAGCGTGGTGGGAGGGACAAAGGGACGGCACTTGACTCAGGACGTCAGAGGCCGTCAGCGCTGAGGAGAGGGGAGCAGCAGAGCTAGCCTTGCCGTCCAGGGTCCCACCATCCCTCTTGGGGTGACCCCTAGCCCCTGATTGGTAATCATTATGATATATTGTATGCACCCTTAATGTGCGATTTTCCGATATTACACGTACATTGGGACTGAGCGGGGTGGGGGAGCGTCACGCACAGCACGCGCGCTTATCGGCACCATCAGTTATTGATGAGCTCCGAAAGGGGTGTATCAGAACGTTATTAATCTAGCTGGGAGCAGCGTCAGTATGTCGGGGCGGTACGAGACCTGCTCGCGTGACGGCTCCATGTTACTGAAGCGTGAGTGACAACTGTCACACTGACACTGGCGTCATTGACGCTGACATCTAACTGGCAGTTACAGTGTAAGTGACACTGACAGTGGCAGTGACAGTGACTGGGACTCATCTGGTGGTCGCAGGGTCTCGCCGCGTGAAGCTGGTGTGCGGCTGTTTATTTATTTATCTAGTGGACGGTTGATGAATGGCTACGAGTCGGTGACCACGAGCCACGCTGCCTTTTGGCACAGCGGACCCGGCACCCGCTCCATCAATCCTGCAGGATTGACGCTTGCGTGTGATTCACAGTTGTAAAAGTGATAGAAGCTCCGCTGCATGGATTTTATTAGCATCCGCCCACTGTCACTGGCGGGGGTCGTCGACCGTCTGAAGTTGAACTGAAGGACTTGAAGTTCCCAAAGACAGGAGCCGCCTGGATTATGTCGGTGTTATCGTCCTCTTCCGGTCGGCGCTCATCCACATATACGCTCTCAGCCGTCGGGCCGTGGCGCAGTCGGCCCGTCCCAACATTGTCCCAATTCCTGTCCCGACCTCATGCGGTCCCCAGTTTCAGCCCATTCAGCCGGTGCCAGACGTCCGTCGGAGGGCGGATGGGTGGCTGGGCGCGGCGGCTGGTCGGTTGAATCGCCCTGCAGGCGGGCAGACGGGGGCGAGCGCGTCGGTCGCCGCTGCGGGGGTCGTCGGCAGAAATAGAGCGGCCAGCGCCCTCGGCCCTCCCACGACGGCCGACGGCCCTAGAACACCGACCGGGATGGCCTCCAATACTATCCAGGACAGGGGTGAAACGTCTTTCTGTGACAGTCCTCCGCCAGCGCCTTCAGCGCAGCCATCGTGGTACGACGTCCAAAACCACCTGGTGCAACCTCCATACACGGCCATAGACGTCTGTATGTACGCCGTACGGACTTCCATAAACGGCATCCATCTTGGCGCTATTTTGGTTTCAAACATCTCCCGTGGGCCGTGGACGACACGACCTACAACAGGCGCGACCCTGGAACGGCCTCTAAGTTTCAACACCGCACGGGACACCCGCCACCATTGGCCCCGTATTGTCTGTCCAGCCAACCGTAGCCGCTGAGACGGAAAGTCGTACCGCCTGACGCCCACGTTTCCTTGCCGACTTGCAGTACCGGTTATGTCATACGTTGGAGCGTTTGAGCCGGCCGGCCGCTGACGTTCACCCCATATTTACGCACTTAGCGGGCGAGGAGATTAGCTTTGTTGTGGCCGGTGCTTTGCATCACCGCCTCGGTCATTGATTCCACCTTACATAAGGCATGGCAGCTCGCAGTCATGTTGTGAATCCTCACTCAGCCCTTAATATGTTTATGAGCAGCATGTTGCATCTTGGTGTTGTGCGGGAATTCACCACAATTAGCATAAATACCGCGGAATGATTTCAACACGTGAACCGGTCGCTGGTGCCCCTGCCAGCAGTCACGGTCGGGTCTCGGGGGCTCTGCCAGCATCCGTACAGCCTCCGATAGTGGGAGCTGAGAGTCTGAAACACTGGACTGGCTCCAGCATCCAACCGCACATTTATCTCAATTCACCACACAAAACAGAGAACAGTGGGGAGACGAATGACGAGAATTATGTGGTGAACGGCAAAGATGGTTGCCGGCACTTGATACGGCATATCGAGTATATTCTTGGACTTCGGGAGACCATTGACACAGGGGTTCATGCCCGTGATACCTCCGTCTATCGCGGAAGGCACTACAGCGGACGAACGTCACCTGGTTTCTATCTCGCGTCCATTTTACGAATGCTGCTACCAGCTGACACTGTGTGTTTCTCTGGCCCCGGGCACAGGCTCCGTTGACCTTATCTGTCCCAGGTCCCGTGGTTGAATAAGCTCCATCGTGTTAGTGTGTGCCGTCGGCAGGACTAGGAGCTGATTACGGCCCGCCTGTTCTGACCGTGTGTATATCTCTGTGTGTATCTCCGTGCTCTGTCAGCTCTGACCGTATGTCTGTGTCTGTCGGCAGGCCCCAGGAGCTGATCACTGCCATCGAGGACGGGGTGGTCACCGAGGTTACACAGGTGCTGCGCGAGTGGAGCGAAAAATGGAAACAGCTCTTTGTGGTGAGTGTAGCCCACGCTGTCCTGCGTGCGTGTACCTACCTGCGTGCGCGTGCACAAGTGTATGCTTCTAACTTTATGGCTTAAGAACATGCGCAGTGCGCACCTGCCAGCAGCTCATACAGTGCTCCATGTTTTCCAGCATTTCCGACTTAGCTTGTCCCGTTTGCATGGGCATTGCATTTTTCCGTTTGCCTGGCGTCGTGTGTTCTCGGTTGTATTGACGTCAGTCCCCGCCCTTTGTATACCGACGTGCCTCATTTTCCACGTTTCCGTGCAGGCCGTTACCTCTGGGCCCTTTACAGCTGGCCGTTCGGGCAGTTTGCGCCGCTGCCAGCCGATACGGTCTGGCCAGACGGTACCGGCGCGGCGGTAGCGTTAATCATGCCCATCGATCCCGACTGGCGGGGGTTCTGAGCCGACACTGGCTGGCGGGGGTTCTGGGCCGACATTGGCGGCGGCGGCGCCGCGCCGTCTGCTGCCGCCGCCCCAGGGACGATATCGGAGCGAGGGAGACCGGCGACAGAGGACAGGAGACCGGCGACAGAGGGGTAGGCAGACAACTGAACCAGTGACAACTGAACCAGGGGCAACTGAACCAGTAAAACTGAACCAGGGACAACTGAACCAGTGACAACTGAGCCAGTGACAACTGAACCAGCGACAACTGAACCAGCGACAACTGAACCAGTGACAACTGAACCAGTGACAACTGAACCAGGGACAACTGAACCAGTGACAACTGAACCAGTAGACAACTGAACCAGTGGACAACTGAACCAGTGGACAACTGAACCAGTAGACAACTGAACCAGTGACAACTGAACCAGTGACAACTGAACCAGTGACAACTGAACCAGTATGACAACTGAACCAGTGACAACTGAACCAGTGACAACTGAACCAGTGACAACTGAACCAGTGACAACTGAACCAGTGGACAACTGAGCCAGTGACAACTGAACCAGTATGGCAACTGAACCAGTATGGCAACTGAACTAGTGGACGACTGAACCAGTGGACAACTGAACCAGAAACAACTAATGTCGTACTGCGCTGTATAGGTATAAGGTAGCGTGTGGCTGGACGGACGGTCTGTGCCAATCTGCCGAGTGCCGGTCTGCCAATTGATCTGTGTCCGATCTATTAGAGTGTCCGTCCGAGAGCCGTACGACGGCTGACAGGGCTGACAGAGCCTGGTGGTCGCGAACTGGTGTGGTAACCGTTACGCCCACTTGGGACGCCCGAATAGTTAGCAACGTATAAATAATATTCACTTTGATGGCCTAACTCGGGACAGACAGGGCACGCAACATGGGCTTGGCAGAGTTCAGCCCGCCTGGGCCCAGAGGAATCTCCGGTATATAAATGGATTCACTGCTCGGGCTTACATCGGGCTTACGCCAAACGTCGCACAACTAGGGCTAAACAACGGCTGTCCTGAGCTCGTCGAGAGGGCATATACCTCCGGCAGAGCATGGGCTTTAGTCGGCGTTTTTGTGTCATACGCCGACTTTAGTCTTTAGCCCAAACGCTTGCTGACTTTAGTCCAAGCGCTAGCCGACTTAAGCCCGACTAAAAATCTCGGGCAAGCCGCACTTCAGCCTGCTTAGGCCAGGAGTAAAATTGCTTGCTGGGCTACTGGTTAGTGGTTCAGTTGTCACTGGTTCAGTTGTCCACTGGTTCAGTTGTCCACTGGTTCAGTTGTCCACTGGTTCAGTTGTCCACTGGTTCAGTTGTCACTGGTTCAGTTGTCACTGGTTCAGTTGTCATACTGGTTCAGTTGTCACTGGTTCAGTTGTCACTGGTTCAGTTGTCACTGGTTCAGCTGTCACTGGTTCAGTTGTCACTGGTTCAGTTGTCTACTGGTTCAGTTGTCCACTGGTTCAGTTGTCCACTGGTTCAGTTGTCACTGGTTCAGTTGTCCCTGGTTCAGTTGTCACTGGTTCAGTTGTCACTGGTTCAGTTGTCACTGGTTCAGTTGTCACTGGTTCAGTTGTCCCTGGTTCAGCTGTCATGGAACCGACAGAGGACAGGGGGCCGACGAGACGTGTAGAGGGACTGGGGCAGACTGGCAGAGGGACCGGCGACAGACGGGAAGAGGGATGGAATCGGATCAGACAGCGAGCGAATCCGGTCCGGTTTAGTCGGACTGAGACGGATTGATCCGTCCCGGTCCCCGAGTAGTTGTGCGTCGTCCGAGATAAACCAGGTCTGATTATGCCGAGTTTACCCTTGGCGATGTGTGCGAAGGCAGAGTCCGTTCTCTCTGATCCTCCCCCTCTCCTTTTTCCATCTTTTTTTGTCACCCTCCGTTCCGACCTCCCCTGTGGCTGCTTTTCACATGAGCCCGCTGAAAGGCGCGGCACAATACGCGCAGAGGCGGCGCGTTCCTGTGTCCTTCCCACCTCTCTCTGTGTGTCGCCTCTCACGGCCTCCGCGTGCCACGGGAGCCAGCTGGAATGTGCCGACACCGTGTGCAGAAGCGGCGCGTCAAGGTCGCTCGACGGACAGGGTCGCGGCGCCGCCCACCCGGCTATTCTATACCGCATGGTGCCGCCGCCCGCCGCCCCAGCCGCCTACACCGGCGCAGTGTGCTAGGTATGATGTGAGCCGCCACATACATTCCATGGATTGAATGGCATTTATATCTTGTGATCATAAGTCGTAAAAGATTACCAAAATTCTATTCAAACAAGCTCACATGTTTGCCGTTCGAGTGTGTTTGAAGCAGGTGCTTGGTGATCCTGTCGGTGTGTTGCCCCGCAGGTGTGTGTTTGGAATGTCACACCTAGTGCCTATCAGGCGCTTGTTAGCGGTGTCGCGTCAATAAGCAGGTGTTTGTTAGTGCGTCCCATATGCTAGTGTACCAGTTGTTTGTTAAGGGGTCTGACCCGTCGGAAGCTGGTATGACGTGAAACCTTCATACCTCATTCATTCATTCATACCTGCTTCAGTCTTTTTATCATCCAGATGCTGTTCAGAGGCAGCCTCTTGTCTATGTTTATTGTCTATGTAGACATGCTTTTGTTCGATGGCATTGCACTTTGCATATCTGATGTTTGCTCCGATCAGGGCCACCCAGTTTCACGGGGAGGGTGTGTTTGGAGGGCGTATTTGGGTGACACCGTTTGGCGTTTGTATGGACTGCTTCCGTCTTTGCATTAGCCATCAGTCAGTTGGCTGACTCGGCCGTTAGCTGCAGACGGGAGGTCGATGACGGTGTCGCCACTGAATCGTTCAAGAGGTATCGCCCATCGATACCCGATACTGTCTATGGGTCTCTGAAGGTACTCCCTCTGTCGCTGATGCCACGTATATGGTGTTAGCGAGCAAATACGTTTCTGTATGTATCTTGACGAAGACGGCCGGTGCTCGGAGCGCGGCGGTCGGCCCGCCGCGCCGCGCCGCGCGCACATGTGTAAATCGTGTCATCTGGCCCCTGTCCTGGTTCTCATGCCCACGTGTTGTGCTACCACGAGGGCTGAGACGGGACGGGGGCCCGACAGTCTTCAACGGGACTCCGCCGGTGCGACGCGGCCCGGTGTCATACGACGTGGCCGACGCGGCCTGAGTACGAACGGTCTCGAACGCGACTCCGCCGGCGCGACACGGCCCGGTGTTACGACGTGGCCGACGCGGCCTTCGTGAACGACGTGCCGAGAACGACGAATTGCGCTGCATCTGTGACCGCCGTATTTACCCGTTTTAATCGTTTCGCTATCAATCAAGAATAGACTTTTACATATATGAACGATAACTTTATGATCCTCCGGGTGACGAAAGAGAACGAGTACGAGAACGAGTGAACGATCACGAGCACGCACGAACATCTCCGCATCGAACGGGTGAACTGAACGATTCTCACGAACATATGGCGTTGGTGTTCCTTCCGCTAACGGCGTGTTCCTTATGTCACTGACGCTGTCTGTCTTCCCCGTCGCCAGGACGGAGAGTCACTGGAGGTGCTCGTCTTCTCTTTGTCGCTGACGGCGTGTTCTTAGGTCACTGACGTATTCCCTCTCCCCTTCGCCAGGACCGGGAGTCGCTGGAGGTCTCCTCCCTATGGAAGGTGATGCACGAACTGCTGGACTGGCGGCGGCAGCTGCTTACCGGAACACTCACCCAGGACCAAACCCGCGAGCTACGCGTCCGGGTCACCGCCAAAATCGACTGGGGAAACAGGTCAGTGTCCACGGGAAGCAGACGGGAGAGCGGGATAACGACAGGCATGCTGTAGTCTTCAGCAAAAATCGTCGTACCACCAGCGTTATTTTCGGATAAGATGCGTCGGCACGCCACCCGAACGTTTGCGCTGGTTCAGGTTTGCGCAATAGGTGGTCTGTTTATGTGCAGGGTGCTGGTAGTGGCAGCGGCACAGAATAGCTCTCCGGGATAGTGACACGGACAGCTGCTTTTGTCGGCTGCGCTCAGTCGCCACCGGCGCGGCTGTCGCCAGCAGCTACCCTATGACAACAGCTGACTGTGACAGGGCTGTCAGGGTTCTGGCACTGACTGTATCAGGGCACTGGTATATAGAATAGGCATATCACTACACCACCTGTTAGAGACTGTCATTGCCAGCGAGGCCAACGGTCACTGTCACCGGCAGCTCTGACGACAGCTGACTGTGACAGCCTCTGTCAGGGTTTTGGCACTGTCTCCGCGGAGTATCCTACCACATTACCATCATAGGATACACCATCGTCACTCGTCAGAGACCGTCACCGCCAGCGCGAGCGGTCGGCGGGACCGCGCTGTCATCTGTCCGTCTGTTCGGAGCTCGGGCCGTGCGAGACATTCCTGTCTGCTGTTTGTGAGTTACGGAACGTGCCTTCCCGTCTGTAGATGGGTTACGGACCGTGTTGTCCGTCCGTAGTGAGTTACGGGACATTCCGTCCCTTCAGCGTACAGTGGCCCAATATTCCGCTCCGTCCGTTCGGCAGCCGTTTCCAAGCACTCAGCTGTGGTCGATGGGTGTGGCCCGGTCGGAGCCCATCTGATACAGAGGTCAAACGGAAGGCCCATCGGTCGGCGGTGATGGCGGTCGTCTGTATGGGAGCGGCGGCACGGCAGGGCTCCACACGAACCCCCACACAATGGCGAACTGTTCCAGTGGTGATAAGTTTAGCCAAGGCAGCCGCACGCTTCACTGTTAGCGATAACACTGCACGGAAACTGGTGATTCCTCATTAAATGTTTGTGGAATCGAAAGCATGAATTGGATGCGACGCATGAAAACTTGCCCTTATTTATCGCACGGTCATTGCTGAATACTTGAAACTGAAATTCCGTCTTTTTGCAGCGTATATCTCACTAAAATTTCGTCTTGCTATTCGAAAGGTCATTTATGCAGTGCGTCTGTATGTAAATACCGGCCTTCATTCGCGGTGCACCAATAAAGTGGGAGCTGTGGCACTGTTGGCGCTGTCCGAGATGTCACAGACGGCACTGACTAAGGTGCCGCCGGCGCTGACAGGTGCCACCAGCGGCGATTTGTGAGCCGTGGTGCCGCTGGCCGCCGGCCCTGTCTGAGGTGCTGCCGGCGCCGGCACCTGTGACCCGGACTCGGCGCTAATCGCTGCGGCCGCCGGCCCGCTCCACCGCGACCCCAATCGGAGTGCTGACGGCGGACGGAAGTACAGCGCCGCCGGCTGCCGGCCGGGTCGGTACGGGGCGGCGGCGGCTTCCCCACCGGCGCGGCGGCGGCTTCCCCACCGGGCCGGGTCGGCACCGGGCCGGCGGCGTCTCCACAGGGCCGGGTCGGCACGGGGCGGCGGCGGCGTCTCCTCAGGGCCGGGTCGGCACCGGGCCGGCGGCGTCTCCACAGGGTCGGACGGGACGCAGCGGCTGCACACAGGGCTGCCCGGCGCGCTCTCGTCGACGGTCGACGGGCGCTATTTTCCACTGGGATAACCGGCTCATGAATATGAATGGGAGGCTCATATACTGCTTCATTTTATGGTTTAATAAAATCCGCCCGGCAAGAATAGGTCCAAGATCCTGCCTACGTCTAGTGTTGGTCAATATGGCGTAAATGTGTTCGTCGGTACTTTTATTGAGTAACGACTACATTGCACTGGCTCAGATATTGGCCAGGTGTGTTTCTGCTTTCAAGATAAGATATGTGCTAGACCGTTTCGATATATTTGATAATTATCCTTCGTAGACTATATGATAACCAGTCACATCCGATAACGGTCAAGTGCGTCGTGCACCGTTTAAATGCACTACATAATATGCACTCGTGACCCAGTCCCCTACGGACGGAACGGTAAAAGTGTCCATTCAGACGAACCATCCAGTGCCCTGGAGCCAGTGTGACCGCCTCCGTGGCTCGGCCGCTTTCCCGTCCGGTCGGCGAATTTTATCGCACGTGACGTCAGCGTTTTTCGAGTGAGCAAACATCGGATGCCGCCACACCGGCTGCTGTGCTCTAAACGCTTCGGTCGACAAATACAGGCATCTATCAGCAAACGCTATCAGGCGGTTACTGTAAACGCGGCCCTATAAACTGTAGCGCACCGTGAGAACTACGGATTGCCCCATAAACATTTACAATATAAGCGGATGCCTATTATAAACAAGTCTTCCGGTCACTCACTAAGAACCGCAATCGGTTGACACACAGAAATAGTGAGTTCAGCTGAACTGTAGGCCATTCATCAGGCTGGTTTGGGAACACCAAAACGTCAATATGCATATTTTTGCATACAGAAGGGTACGGAATTGGCCGGACTTTGGCCTCCAGGAGAGCACATTTTCTATCGTCTCCTGACTTCCGTTGTATCTTCGTCATTCATTCTCCTATCTGAGTGTCGGTCCAACATTTTAACACCCCATCGGGGTCCGGACCCTGCAGCGTCGTCACAGAGATAAATGATGACGAAGGGGCGGCAGTAAAGTGACGGTGTCAGCCAGGGGATGGAGTCGGACCGCCTGCCGCCGCCGCAGTTCTCTCTGACGGTGGCGGCCAGTAGCGCCGGCGGCGGCCGACGTCGGACCGCGGGCTGCGGACGGTCACAGCGGCTCCCGTCCGCCCTCTAGGCCCGCCGCCCCCGGCGAGGCGAGGAGGGTCGTATTTCAGTTCCGGGCGGCTCGCCGTCGACCGCGGCTCATCGGGGCGGGACGGACTGGGGAGGAGGGGAGGGGCGTGGGACAGTTAGCGGGATGGAGTCCGGAGTCGGGAGTTTATTCCTTTATTTATGAGTGAATGAAGTTGTCGGAAGATAAGTGCTCTGAGGAAAAACGGGCTTCTGAGGACGCTGGCCGCGTGCGATTCGTTACATATCGCCTCGGGCATGGTGCCACTGTCTAGGCATGGTGCCACTGTCCTGCCAATTGACGGCCGATCGGTGATTGATTGCGTGCCAGCTAGGCGATGCTTCCGCGGAGAAAGAAGGGGTGGCCGGTCTCCTCTCGAGCCGAGGAGGGAGGCGGGCCGCCGCGGCGCCGATATCTCCTGCGCTCCGAAGGCCGACCTCTGCCGCCCGCCGCGGCTGTTTGCCGACACGGTCCGAAAGTGAAAACGCCTGCTGCGGTGGCGCCGGAATGTGGTCGGCGTCTTTCCATGCCGGCGGCGACGAACGGAGCCTGGGAGCTCGTGTGCGCCCGCGGCGTCGGCGGGCTCTGCGCTGCGGGAGTCGCTCTCGTGTTCCAGACCTGTCCCGGCGGGTGCGCCGTGCTCTGCGCAGGTCTCTGCGGTGCAGCGGCTCCGACCCGGGCCGTCAGCCCTCTCCCGGTTTGGAATCCGACCCGCCGCGCCGGGCCGATGTGTTTACTCTGCACCGGATCGTCTCCGGTACCGGGTATGAGTGTCCCCGCGACCGGTGCGGCGGGGAGGGTCGGGCCGGAACTCGCCGACGGGCCGGGCCGCCCGAGTGGGTAATGGTTTCCGGCTGTGGTGGTGCGGCGTCTCGACTGACGCGCCGCCCGGCGTCACTGCGGCGTCATTGTGCCCGATCCGTTCTGCCCCGCTTGTCCTCATGAACGGTAGCTGAGAGATGGGGAGGAGTTAATCTCTGCGCGAGGCAGCTGGAAGATGAAATTGGGGAGGGAGGGGTTGTCCACTGGCAGGGGCGGTGACGAAGTGCCGACGCTACGCAGTGGCGATCCCAGGCATACCATGCGTATTATCTACACCTTTTTACGCCCAATTTAGGCGGAAGTGCACACATTTCATTAATAGTGCAGGTGATTTCGATGGTTCGGCATAGTGCCTTCATATATTAAATTGCGGCACGATATTCGTCATTGTGCACCCCACTCCGTCCAGGGGCGGTCGCAGACTTGGAGTTTGGGGGGGGCCAACTTGGCAAAGGGGCCCCTGCGCTGACCCGGGGGCCCGGTGCTAGCTGAAAGGGGCCCACGGGCGTAGTGCACGGGTGCAGAAATCTAGGCCATGGCCGGTGAAGCGGGGGGGGGGGGGGTAGGGAGCGGCACCCGAACGGAGGCTCATTGAGAGCTTTGAGGGTGCACCATGTCGAAAAGGTACCGAAAAGTGCATTTTGAAGCATTGATTATGTCAATAATTCACGCAACTGTGAATGGACTACCGCAAAAGTATAGGCGGCTAACTTTGCCATTTTCTTTGCAAAAAAAAAACTTTGCCATTTTTTAAGATCATCGTGCTAAAACTTTTAACAGTGGGTCATCGGTATCTGTTCACTGTTCAATCACATGTGTTCCGACTTCCGTTTAATCTTTTTTTTACTTGAGCACAAATGCAAATTTTGAAGACCATTACAGTAGGAAATGCTTCGAAAGACGGATAGTGGGCAAAATATCCTAAATTTGTCGTGCTGCATGGAAAGTAGTGTTGCTGAGGAAAGGGGGTTTGTTCCAGATTATTGTGGATGCAGAATACATTGTCTGCACTCACTGCAGAATTATTGTTGGTGCAACTGCGCCCACTGCACCCATGGTTCCTACACTTATGGGCCCATCGATAGCGCTTCGGCGATAGGTACCTATCGCCTAGAGGCTGCAATGGGGCCCTTAGAGTACGGTGTCAGACCCCCAGAGGCCGGCGTTGGACCCAAGGGTCAGCGAAGGGCCTCAAAGGCCCCAGGTAGGGCCCCAGAGGCTGATGTGGGCCTTCATAAGCAAGTGCGTGACGCCCAAAGGTAAGGCTTGAGCCCAATAGGGCCATCAGTGGCCGGTGTAGAGACCTCATAGGCCAGTTTGCGGGCCCCTCAGAGGCTAGTGTGGGCCTCAGGTGTCGCTATGAGGCACTTAAAGACCGGTATGGGTCCTCAGAAGCCGGCATCGATCCTTCAGAAGCCAGTACGGGGCCCTCAGAGGCACATAAGGGCAGTTTCGGTCCCAGAGACAGAAATGGGACCATCAGAGGCCGGTGTGGGTCGTGGGACCTTTAGAGGCTGGTTTTGGCTCTTAGGGGCCAGTTTAGAGCCCTGAGAGACCAGTACAGGGCCTGCAAAGGGCAGTTTGAGACCATCAGAGACCGAATTGGGCACTCAGAGGCTAATATGGGTCCTTACAGGCCAGCATGGAGCCCTCAGAGGTTAGGGTGGGGCCCTAAAAGACCGCCATGGGCCGGCGTTGGACCCCAGAAGCCAGAAGAGGGCCCTCAAAGGCCAAGATGGGCCCTCAGACTAGGCCGATGCGGGCCCTTAGAGGCCGGCATCAGGTCTTCAGAAGCCCGTGCGGGGCCCTCAGAGGCTAAGGTGGGTCCTTACAGGCCAGCACGGGCCCTCAGAGGTCAGTGTGGGGCCCTAAAAGACCGGCATGGGCCGGCGTTGGACCCCAGAGGCCAACAGAAGGCCCTCAAAGGCCAAGATGGGCCCGCAGAAGCCGATGCTGACCCTTAGAGGCCGGCATCGGGTCTTCAGAATCCAGTGCGGGGGGCTCTCGGAGGCTAATATGGGCCCTTACAGGCCAGCATGGGGCCCCCAAAGATCAGAATGGGACCCTAAAAGACTGGCATTGGCCGGCGTTGGACCCCAGGGGCCAGCAGAGGGCCCTCAAAGGCCAAGATGGGCCTTCAGAGGCCGATGCGGACCCTTAGAGGCCGGCATCGGGTCTTCAGAATCCAGTGTGGGGCCCATAGAGGCTAATGTGTATCCTTACAGGCCAGCATGGGCCCTCAGAGGTCAGTGTGGGGCCCTAAAAGACCGGCATGGGCCGGCGTTGGACCCCAGAGGCCAGCGAAGGGCCCTCAAAGGCCAAGATGGGCCCTCAGACGCCGATGCGGGCCCTGAGCGGCCGGCATTGGGTCATCAGAATCCAGTGCGGGGGCCTCAGAGGCTAATTTGGGTCCTTACAGGCCAGCATGGGCCCTTAGAGGTCAGTGTGGGTGGGGCCCTAAAAGGCCGGCATGGGCCGGCGTTGGACCCCAGAGACCAGCGGAGGGCCCTCAAAGGCCAAGATGGGCCCCCAGAGGCCGATGCTGGCTCGACATCGGGTCTTCAGAATCCAGTGCGGGGCCCTCACAGACACTTAAAGGCTAGTCTTGGGACTCGAGAGACAGAAATGAGGCCACCAGAGGCCGGTGTGAGGCTCTCAGACGCCGGTTGGGCCCCTGAGGCCGGTTTAGGGGCCCTCAAAGGCCAGTGGAGGGCCCTCAGAGGTCAATACGGGTCCTCAGCGGTCAATGTGGACGCTTGACCGCCACTGAAGGGCCCTCACAGGTCAGTGTAGGACCCTCAAAGACTGGTATGGGAGCTGTTAATAGCTGGCGTGGGTTTCTCGAGCCTCGTGACAATCGAATACGGGCCAGGGCCCCATACGGCCATGGGGGCCCATCGGTTGTTTGGGGGGGGCCAAATGATATGATGGCCCCCCCCTGATTTGCCTTTGGGGGGGGGGCCATGGCCCTGATGCCCCCCCCCCCTGCGACCGCCACTGACTCCGTCATAGTGCAGTTAAAAGTGGCCCAGGCTCAGACATATTGGACTTAGTGCAAATAATAATTCGTCAGGTTAATTCAATTTCGACATACGGCATGTGCTTACGGCAACGTTCAAATAAATCCAGCACGGTATAAATAAGCGACTATGTAAACAAATCTCACCTTCCTACGCAACTTAAGCCCTCAGCAAAGCTCTGGAGCTAATGAAGAATGTGGGATGTCACGTGAACGTGAAATGCGCTACACCTTTTTACGGCCAAATATAGAAATAGTGCACACAGTTCAGTATAATAGTGCAACCGATTTCGACAGTTCGGCAATAGTGCACCTCTAGTTCGGCCAAGTGCATGATATTCGGTAATAGTGCACACGTTTCAAATGAAGAGCAATCAATTTAGAAGATGGTGCGTTCAAATTCAATGAGCCGTAGGTTCAATTTCGTCATAGTGCACGGTTTCGTCATGTGGCCTGATAGTCGGCGTCCAGCAAAGCGATTTAGGCGATGTTCAAGTGAATTCGCTGCTGGATTGGGAAAATATTTTTGAAAGCCCCTATCTGCCTGTCAAGAGTAGCGTGAATCTTGGTCAAAAACCTGCTCAAATGCAGTTTCAGCTCTCAGGAATTAACTTATCATTAGTCTCGCTCTAAGAACTCGGTGACACGGTCGAGTGGCGGTCACGTGGCATTCAGAGCTTCTGAATCGGGTGCATAACTTCGTTGCTGGTTCAAAAAGATCTATGGATTAGATCTATGGAAAGATCCATAGATCTAAGATGCTATGGATTCTTGTTATCGCCTTTCAGCATCATGGCGAATTTGATTGAACAAAGCCGAAAAAATATTGCTCATGCCGAATATATAAGCACCCGACGAATTATGTGCACTATATCTTATATGATTGAAGCTAAGGCACCCAGATGAAACATTAAATACCCTCTACCTTTTGCATCCAGAGCAGTGCAGCTGGCTACTTGACTTTTTTGCGTTGCTGACTGACTAAGAGTGTCATTGGAGGCTGAGGTAGCGTGGAATGTCAAATAAAAATTGTCATTACTCATTTATGCAATGCCGTGTTACTGAACAGTGCCTAAATTACATGCGGGACCCCGAAATTGAAACGATCTGACGAATAATGTGCGATATGTCTAATATGCCTGAACCTGGGTCACTTTAAACCTGCACTATGACGAAATGGCTGCAATATGGCGAATATCGTGCCGCGATTCAATATATCAATGCACTATGCCGTGCTGTCGAAATCGCCTGCACTATTTTTGAAATGTGTGCACTGCCGCCTAAATTGGGCCTTTTCATTACATTCATTAAAATCTTGTTAATTTTTATTAGCAGTAAAATTTCAATAATTTAGTAAAATTTCATTAGCAGCTTGTTTGAACGGCACCACGCTACACTTGATGAACAGCAAGAGCGTTGTCAAAAATATTTTCTAGATGGGGCACCGAATTCGCTTGAAGGTTAACTAAATTGCTTTGCGGTACGCCGAATACCAATGCATATGACGAAGCAATGCACTCTGGCGAAACTGAAATCGCAACTACTGAAAATGAATGCATTCTCTTTTAAATTGCTTGCACTGTTTCGGAGCCGTGTGCACTATTACTGAATTTCATGCACTCGGCCTAAGAAGCGGTGCACTATGCCGAACTGTCGAAATGGTTGCACTATTTCTGAACTTTGTGCACTATTTCTATATTTGGCCGTAAAAAGGTGTATGTGTGGACACGCGACGACACGTTGCGGACTGAGTACTGACCAGACCCTGATTTGAGGTGTGTTGGTCGGCCGCGGCTGCCTTTGGTCTGTATGACCGCGTCTGTCCTGACCCCGCCTACTCACCCACCCAGCCCCGCGGCTGCCGAGAGCGGCTTACTGCTGTGCCCGCCGGCGTTCGTTCGTAGTGACATTCCTGCGGCCGCGGCGGTGACGTGGGGTCCGCCCCGTGTTTACCACCTCCCGCAGAGGGGCGGGGCGCGCCTGCAGGCGGGGGGGGGGTCCTCCGGCGCCGCCGACTGGTGACTGACGGTCACCCCCAGAGGGCGCCATCACCCTGTGTCACCAATTAGTGCAGTTTCACCAGTCAGGTGCAAATCCAGGTGATGACAATAACAGGGATCATTCACTAGGACATTACGAATACAGTGGTCCGGCGCCGTATGATTAGTCACTGAGGCACAGAGCTCGCGGGGCGCCCTGCCGTTTCCGCCCCGGTTTACCCTCTGACTGACCGCCGCCGATGGGTGTGCCCTCGGCAGCGGCGGCACCTGCTGAGCTGTCGGCTCTGACGCCACCGAGCACCTGACCGAGTGCAGAGGCACGGCGGTGTTTGCCTGTGATATCAGTCACCGAGGCGGCACCGCGCCGACTCTGAAGTGGGCTCAGGTGTTGCTGATAACAACCAGGTGCTATTTAAATGACCTGCCCGAGACTGTCGGACATTTAACCCACCTTTGACCCATGAGTCACCAATCGCCATTTCATCGTGTTCCTATCAACCGTTCTGCGTTGTCTCTACTCACGTTTTGACCGTAATGTGTTCGGTCGCCTCTATCGATGACCTTTGACCCGAAATCATGTATGACGCGTCTGACCTTGTCTGACTTGGTTTGACCTCATGTGATCCCCCTGTTTCAGGCAGCTGGGCCTGGACCTGGTACCCCGGGTCGATGGATGTATGGTCGACCCGGACCTCCTCTCCGTGGTGGCACTTCATCAAGTGGTACGCACGCCACCTATCTCCGCTCATCAAATAGCCGGCGCAGGGAGATATCGCTCTATCACATACCAGACAACGGGAGGTCGCACTTCAACCGACAGCCCGTGGGAAGCTTGACTGGCTGAACGTGATGTGTTAGGATTTCGGGATTCTGCTCAGTCGGGGTGCCGTCAAAGCCTTTACATATATCAGAGGTGCATTATTTCTGTGTTAACGAGACATCCTACTCGTGAGTGATCCGTCTCTATGTTGTCGGGTTCCTACCATCGGAGTATAGTCGACTACAGAATGATGTTCCACTCCTCAGAAGCTATCAGCTGGCCGGAGCGCTAAGTTGTGCCGTTTATCACGCAATTAAGCGTATCGATTGTGAGCATTGGGACAAAGCTATAATTTGTGAACTCAGTCCGTGTGATGCGGCACAGCCTACCACTCCAGGCAAATAATCGCCTGTGAAAAGTGGAACATCATTCTGTAGTCGACTATACATAAATGTTCGCTATTTCTGTGTCGCCGTTGAGCTTACGTCCGTTGTGTCTTCTCTTGCTGTCGGGGCGTCGTCTGCTAATGTCCATCATCTTTGTGTTGCCGTGGTTACCTCAGAGACTCGTCTCTGTGCTGTCCGGGCGCTGTCAGGGCTGATGTTCGTCCTCTCTCTATATTGCAGCACACTCAGAGCCTGGAGACATCACAGGGCATGTCGGTAAGTGGGCGCTAGTCTGTGTTTCCGTGTGTAACGGCGTTCTACGGGCTTCACCGTGGCCAGTGGACTTGGCCGACCTTGCTAGCTGGCAAAAAGAACGATAACCAGTCAGCCCGAATCAGCGGGGCTTCCGCGATATCTTTCATAGCGCGTACTATCTTTCACTGAACAGTGAACATGCGTTTATGATAGCTGTGTGAGATAACGGAATCCGTGTAGTTTATGCTGTCTTTTTCATAAAGCTATGAATGGTGAGTTGACTGTATTATCACGTTTGGCTGGATGTGTGAATTGCATGCATTCATAGTTCAACTCCTTATAATCCTTCGCTGTGATTGCCGGTGGCTTGCTGCTGACGGCACTGAGTCAGCTTGGTGACGTCACTGTATCAGTCTGGTGCCGTCACTAAGACACCCTGTCTTTGATCGCTCCCCAGATCCGCGGCACGCTGCGTAAGAAGGACACCAAGCAGGCGGCGGCCCACAACCTTCACCTGGCGCTGCGGGATTTCGGGTACTCCACCGGCGAGGACGCGCAGCTGTTCTTCTCGCTGTACGACGCCAAGAGGGCGCGCTTTGTCAGGTAGGTGGCCGCGCTGTATGCGGAATACATTGCTGTATGGTTCTGATGAGCCGTGCTGTCAATATTCTGGTACTCCCAATTAGTTGGGCTGTATTGTGCCAGCAGTCCACAGAAGTGTGAAGTCAGTCCGTCTACTCTGCTCCAAGTCCGAGGAAATGTGTTGCCAGATCTAAGCTCTCAGTACCCTGTGATGCACACTCGGTTCACAGAGCGGTGTTTTCAGTGTGTGATTTTCTATCAGCCTGCCCAGCCTCGCCGCCTGTGAGCGGCGCCGGGCCGACGGTCCGACGGGCGGCTGCGTCGGCCGTCGGCCCCGCGCCGTTTGTTGACGTTGGCCCTTTGTTTGCTGGCTCGAACCACAGCGCCCGGGGCGGGTGTTCAGAACTGGGCGTGCTGTGCCCGCCCCCGCGACGCGGATTCCGGGAAACCGGCCGCAGCGCCGCCGAAAGGGCTCCTTTCAGCGGAGACCGTCCCGGCTTTATGGCTAATAGTTCAGTGGGGTTTCTTTGAAGTGCTGGCATGGGAGTGATGTTCTTGCAGATAATGTTCTCAGTAGCCCCAGCAGCCGTTACCTGTTCTAACACACTTACACTCATGCTCAGACGACTAGGATTGTTTTTGGCTTGACGGTGATCGGTTTTCTGCAGCATACATCAGCTGTACCTCGTAATTAGCGTCAATAGTGGTTATACCCGATTCTAAGATCATTGCTGTTTGCCCTGGTCGGTTTTTCCATTTACCCCTTTGTTGCTATCACTGCTCTCAGACAGAAATTACACCCTTGGTATTGATATAATGTTTGTATTCCGTGTACCGTATCAGCTGGTTGACAGTCAAATGTGTTCTGGTACCTATCAAATGGACTATTGACGCCCCCTTCCTTTCGCTTCAGTGAGCGGTTTCTGGTGGAAATAGCTCGCGATGGCGCCTCGAACTTCTACAACAAGCCTGCCAACAACGCGTCTACCGTGTTCACTGTGAGTTTACTGAGCTAACGCCTCATCCCTCTTATAGATCTTGTCTTCACTAGAGTTAATTCATCCTCGTTCCTCCGAGTTGGCGTGAAGGACGCATTACACAGACTAGTAGTTATATAATTGGACATTTGACAGATACTGTACACGATTCCTTGCTGTTGCCATGCCAACCGGGTAGCAGAGCTACTTGCGGCAGCGCGCGATCACTCGCACCGGCTTATATGGCCTTGGGTTGTCCTTAATTAGTTAGACTGGATCTAAGCCTCCTTCAGGAGCCACTGAGACGAACAATCCTCCGATAGCGGTGATGGGTCGACAGTCGACACTGACCCCGCAGTGGCGATTGGTGCTGATACCCGCTCAATGAGGGTCATGGTGCACTGTCCTCCCTCCTCCCTCACCCCCCCCCCCCCTCAGCACTCTCCTCTCCCTCATGTCCCCTCAGCCCGTCCTCCCTCCTCTCTGAATCAGTACCGGCGCACGGGAGCGGTCAGTGGCCACTGCGTGACGTCAGGCGGCCAGCGGTGCCCACTGCGCCGGCCGGCTCAAGGTCGGCACGGCCCCGGCACGTGACCGCTGTCAGCTGATTTCACCGGGTCCCTCCCCCCCCCCCCCACCCCCCAGTACACCTCCCTGACCCAGCCTGAATCATTTGCCAATACGAATTGTAGATCATTTGCCGATTCGCATCTCAGAATTGCGGTTTGGGCTCACCGCTTCCTCTACAGTCTACATCCACGTAGTAAATGATATGACGATTCAGTCTGCTGTTTTGTTCACTGTGCAGTGTTCAGTGCTTAGACGTGTCTAGTGCCCATGCGGTGTCCCTACTGACCCGTCCCTCCCTCCATCTAGGACCTGGGCTCCCTGGAGCAGTGCTCACAGCTTTACTGACCCGTACCTCCCTCCTCCCTCCCTGCAGGGCCTTGGCTCCCCTGGAGCAGTGCTCTCAGCTGTACCTGGTGTTGTCCGTACTGACCCGTTCCCACCCCCCTCGCAGGACCTGGGCTCCCTGGAGCAGTGCTCTCAGCTGCAGGTGCTGACCTGTCCCCCCCCCCCCCTGCAGGACCTGGGCTCCCTGGAGCAGTGCTCTCAGCTGTACCTGGTGGTTCAAGTGCTGCGGGTGGGCCGTATGCTGCCGGCCGAGTCGTCCCGTCGGCCGGCTGTACAGCGGTTCCGGCGGCCGTTCGGCTGCGCGGCGCTCAATATCGGGGACGTGCTGTGCGCCGGTCGGACGGCCGAGGCGGGCCCCGAGCGCGAGCTGACGGTACGCCTGCAGCAGGCAGAGGAGCGCGACTTCTGGCAGCTGCACGAGCTGGTCATCCGGCAGGCCAGCAAGGCCAGCGTCATCTCCGGGCAGGGCAACTACGGTGAGATAACGGGGTAACTACGATGTGCCGTTGACGGGCCGGCTAGAGAAGTTTAAGTGAGTCCGATGTTCCTTTGGACAGTTTTTATTTTGCGGCGGCATCCCTTATTTGCCGCACAGCTGCTTCGTCTTGTTTTTTCTTATGTGATGCTTTCTTCCTTATCCTGCCTCCGCTCTGCTCCAGGGCTGTCTGACAACTGATTCTCTGCCATCATCTACGTTTCAGGGGTCGTACTGTCGCTGCGGCTCCTCCAGGGCAGCCTGGCTCAGCTGCGGCGCGACAGTCCCCTTCTGTTGAAGCACTCGGCCGTCACACGCAAACTGGGCTTCCCGGACGTCATCATGCCGGGAGACGTCAGGTTCGTACTGTGCTGCTGTTTGTGGATGACTGAGAGAGCGAGTCAAGCCCTTGGGTGCGCTCAAGAGATGTGTCAGTACTGTTGCCATTTGCCAAACGCCGTGGCTTTGATCAGATTTTCTGCCCTACTCGGAAACAGCACGTAACTGACGCTCATGAATTCCCAGGAGCGATAAATGTCTGACGCCAAGTCCTCTGTCCTCAGGAACGACCTATACTTGACGCTCGAGCGGGGCGAGTTCGAGCGCGGCGGCAAGTCGACCGGCAAGAACATCGAAGTGTGTGTGATGGTGGTGCGCGACGAGGGACGAGTGCTGGAGGTGAGAGACCGCAGAGGGAGGAACGGATAGAGAGGGAGGGAGGGGAAGAGGGAGATCGCTCGCATCTGGGAGTGCATCCGAAGCTGTGAGGGGTGGTTCTACTGACCAGAGGGCAGTTTTGTCATAGATAAGTGGGAACCGTTGGGGGAAATACCTCCAGCAGTTGCAGCGGCTCGATGTCTGGAGCTCCGAGCGGTTGCTGCACGCTCCTGGTGTGTCCAGTCATAATGTGGCGGGTCTATACACGGGGAAGACCAGGCCAGTCCCGGCCCCGCACCACGCCGGCACTCCGTCGGCGTCTCGCTCCGGCCGGGCGCCGCTCTGTTGTATAATTCATCTCAGCGCTGCCCGGTGATATGTCCCTGCAGTCCCGCCGCGCCCCGCCGCATCTGACCGCTGGTGTCCCCGTGTCCTTGTAACGCGGGGTAACGACATGGGCAGTATCCTGTCTGCATGGTTCAGTGTAGGCTCTTCTGCTGCGCAGCACCCGAGGAAAATGCGCAGAGAGATGTTTGACCAGTGGCTGGGCATGGATTTGGAGCTATAAGCGAAAATTGTTCGCTGCTCTATATCGCGCTATGTAGGATATGCTATGCTATTGTCATGCATGATTTTTTTATATAAGTGTAGTATTTATTATTCCGTTTGGTCTCCAGTTTGTACTCTGCTTTCCATCCTCATTCTTCTTGTGTCACTATGGCTACTTATAGTTTTGAACACTTCCTTGTCATTTTACTGATGTAGTCATTTACTGATTCTGTGTAAATTTACCCATGGTCTCCAACTGATCGTCTCCCACGCCACCACTAACCGCCTATCCGTCCTTTCTCAGGAGTGTATCGTATCTGCGGGCGGCCAGCCGGGCCGGCGGCTGTACAACTCGCTGATCCTGTACCACAACAACGCGCCCCGCTGGAACGAAACCATCCGACTGGCGGTGCCCATTGACTCGTTCACGGGCTCCCACCTGCGGCTCGAGTTCAGCCACTGCTCCAGCAGTGAGTCACGGCCGACTTCTAGTTCTGTGTCTGTCTGCCTCCTGTGTTTTGGCTGTTTAGTGTTCAATAAGTCCTTTATGTCGACCTTGTCCACTAGCCTTGAGTATTCAGTTGACTTGCATAGTTCCGAATGGCTCCGTAACCCACAGCGTGCCCTGCGTGCTCATGCTCTGCACTTGCAGTCACCTGTGTGCCGTTATTACATCCTCCCAAAGATGCAGGGTGCTTCTGATAGACCTTCGTCTTACCGCAAGTCTTTATGTGTCCCACTGGGACCTGATCTCAGAGGTGCTAATGGCACAGTACGATCTGTTCGCCCTGAACTCTCCTCAGTCCCGATCTGCCGTATCTGACCTGACCCCCACCCTGCAGCCAAGGAGAAGGGGGAGAAGAAGCTGTTCGGGTTCGCGTTCGCCTGCCTGATGGACGACGAGGGGGCCACCATCCGCGACGGGACGCACGAGCTTTGCGTCTACAAGTGCGACGACAGGCACAAACTGCTGGTGCGTGTCCATAGTAGTCCGTTCAAATCGGCATCTAATGGCTGATGGTCGTAAAAAATATGTAGTCTGTCTTAGTTACGTTCTTTCCGAGTTGGAGTAACGGTTAATGCAATTTCTTTTTGATCTACCCAAAATCAAGAAAGTCTCCACCATCGCTGTAAATGGCTCCAAATTTAAAGGGGACTGACGCTGCCTGTGTCGGTGTTGTTTGTCCGCAGAACCCCGCCTGCTACCTGCCGCTACCCTGGCACTCTGATATGTGACTGACACGACGCTGCTGTGTTATTGTGTGTCCGTAGAACCCCGCCTGCTACCTGTCGCTACCCTGGCACTCTGATATGTGACTGACACGACGCTGCTGTGTTATTGTGTCCGCAGAACCCCGCCTGCTGCCTGTCGCTACCCTGGCACTCTGATATGTGACTGACACGACGCTGCTGTGTTATTGTGTCCACAGAACCCCGCCTGCTACCTGTCGCTACCCTGGCACTGTGATATGTGACTGACACGACGCTGCTGCGTTATTGTGTCCGCAGAACCCCGCCTGCTACCTGTCGCTACCGTGGCACTGTGATATGTGACTGACACGACGCTGCTGCGTTATTGTGTCCGTAGAACCCCGCCTGCTACCTGTCGCTACCGTGGCACTGTGGTATGTGACTGACACGACGCTGCTGTGTTATTGTGTCCGCAGAACCCCGCCTGCTACCTGTCGCTACCCTGGCACACGGGCCTGGCCCAGGAGCCGGCCGGCGGCAACCACCACTTTACACGGACGGGCCGCGAGCTGGTCTGCGTGCAGACGCTACTCTGCTCCACGAAACTGACACAGAACAGTGAGTCGACAGCATGTTACGCTGTTACAGTGACTCAACAGTGAGTCAACGATCTGTTACAGCGAGTCAGAAAAGTAAATTAACAAGTTTATGAGGCTGTCCCAGAACAGTGACTCAACGGGCCCTGAACGGTATTGGTTTATTAGCTTGCTCTAGAATGGGGAATAAACGTGGCATCGTGCTAACGTACCGTAGTCATGAAACAGTTAATCACACTGACCGACAATTACTGAGTCAATATTCCGTGGTGGTGACCTAGCGGAACGTGAGTGAACGTGGCATGTCATGGGACTAGCCAGCTTCAAATTGTCAGAGAACATGGACTACGTCGTGGCGCCTCAGCAGCCCTACATTCTTATTTAGATGCCGAGTATTTTCTCATTTGCACTTGTTATGTGCATATTCCAGAGTTATACCCATGCCACTCGAACTGCGTGAGCCGGTATAGACTCCGATAACCGATATCATACCGCTCCATTCCAGTTGATCTGCTGTCGCTGCTGAAGTGGAAGCAGAGCCCGGACAGGATCGTCGAGACGCTGACGCGCATGATGAAGCTGAAGGGCGAGGAGATCGTCAAGTTCTTGCAGGACGTGCTGGACTCGCTGTTCTCCATGTTCTCCACAGAGGACGGCAACTCGACCCAGCACTCCGGACTCGTCTTCCAAGTGCTGGTAGGTTTCGACTTCGGCACATTCGGTGCCACCCGATCTCCCGTTCGCATTGGTTGCTAGTCCCATCGGCTAATTTGTCTTTGTCTTTTAAGTCTTTAGAGTTATGTTATCAATGTCAGGACGTATGGTGTCTGCTGTTTCTGTCACATGTTATTCATCAACAGGTGAGTATCTTCAGCCACCTTCAGGACAGCAAGTTTGAACACTTCCGGCCCGTGGTGGACGCTTACGTCAACGGACACTTCGCAGCCGCTCTCGTATACAAGTAAGCAGCTGGTTGAGAGCTGGCCCACCGCTGAAACGTCCGTCCCCTGGTGTAGCCGGTGCTGTGAGGCTCCTATTCTTAGCTTTGTCTTTAGGGCTTGCCGTCTATTTGTGCATAGTTTCGTGAAGCGAGATGTTCCCATGCCACCGCCCGCCCAGTCCGCCTGCTTCAGCTATTTTGTCGGTCCTCCGTAAAAGGGACCGATGTGTTTCAAATGTTTGGTCGTGACACCTTCTCGGTTCCGTCTGTTATTCTCAAGTGTCCCAGCACTGACCCGAGCTCTCCATTCCGTCCGCAGGGGTCTGATCAGCTGCGTGCGCCACTACGCCGACCAGGTGTCGGTCGCCGAGAAACAGGAGCCTCTGGTCAAGTGTTTTCGCAGCCTCGAGTTCATCTTCCGGTTCGTCATCCAGTCGCGGCTGCTGTTCGCGCAGCAGAGCGGCGGCCAGAACGAAGAGAGCTTCCGCACCGACCTCTACAGCCTGTTCAACGCATTCAACAAGATGCTGTCCACCTCGACCGAGGCGGCCACCGGCACGCAGGTGGGCGGCCGCTGATGGACGGAATAGGGGACTAACAACGGTGATGCCTCCAAAATTACTGACGTTTGAGTGTGGCTGGTCTTATCTTCGCTCAATTATACTCATCGTATTTGCAATCCTTACCGGAAAGGGCATGGCCACCTGCCGCCAATTGGTCTTGTAGTGTACCTGTCGGCTGTCACATATGTCGTGGTCGTGGCCCCTATATAACTTGTGCTGTGACTTGTGGTCTGCCTCTCTCCTGACCTCTTACCCACCGTATGCCCGTGTCCGGTCAGGTGGCGATGCTGCACTCTGTGCCGGCCGTGTTCGTCCAGCTGAGGGCCGTCCTCTCCGACATTGAGATCGCCCGACGGCTCTCACTGATGCTGGAGTCACTGCCGCGCGAGGCGCCCACCATCGTAGCCCAGGCCAAGCTGGCAGCCATGAGGACGGTGGCAGGCAGTCCGCTCTTCCAGGACCAGGGTCAGTGTCTTTGGTCGGTGCCGCACGCGGGGTTCGGACCCGGCGAGCCGTCAGAGTGCATAGCTTGGTGTTGCAACGAAATTGACATATTAGCGAGCAAGTGTGCTATTCTCTTGGTGTCTTCATGATAAAAGCATGGATTCGTTTGGGGCGAACAAAAGCGATCGATTGAGGTAAACAAGATATGTTTTTCCTGGCTCTTTCTGGCTGGCATAAACACCACACTTTCGTATATTGTGCGTGTGTTGTAAAGCCTAATAATGGGCTCACCGTTGTCTGTGCTCTGGCAGAATCTCGGCGACTGCTGCTGCAGACGGCATGTAAACACCTGCGGCACCACATCAGCCACGGACAGGAGCTGCGGCTGTGTACAGACCTGCTGGGGGAGCTGCTCACTATACTACAGACGCTGCAGGTGAGTTCGGGTGCATACTCGGTAAACCTGCCGAGAGAGTTGCTGCTCAGTGCTCAGACTCACCATCATATTGCTGATGTGGGTGATTTATCAGGGTGAGAGAAACCAGCTCATCTCTCAACTCCTTATCGGCTGAGATGGGATGGTGACTCAGGATGTGTCGGAGCAACTGGAATTTGATACATTTGGGTGATCTGACGCGGTAGGGTGTCTGCACCAAACCTGAACAGGCTGTATTTTTATATCGGCGCATCTGACACTCTTTTCACTTCTGATTCGCAAATACTTCTTTCCTCGTATGCCATCCTGGCCATATCTTTTTGTTTTCTTTCCAGTTCACATCAGAGAACATCAGCAAATATACCGTGTTCAGCCGTGAACACAGTCGATGTCAGCATCATACATCCCCTCCCCCGTCCCGTCAGGTGGAGTCGGGCGCCGACCTGCACCGGGAGGTGGAGATCGTCTCCGTCTACCTGCTCGACACCCTGACCCGCGCCGTGCTCACGCTCGAGTCCTCGTCACCGGCGGCGGGCGGCGGCCAGCGCGGCCGGCTGGTGGCCGCCCTGGCCTCCCTGCTGCGACTGATGGCGCCGCGACACTACTGCCACCTGTGGGACGAGGTGGGAGACTCGGAGCAGCTGACCCACTTCCTGCTGCGGCTGATGGCCGTCTTCAGGGAGCTGGTCACCGAACAGGTCAGTACGGAGAGAGGGGCGAGATGTGCGCTCAATGATTTTGCTTTCTTTTTGTGCATTATTTAATGCTGGATTTTATTACAGATTCACATGTTGTAATTTTGGGATTTGTATATTGTCACTGTCTGGGCCCGCCGCCTGTCCGTTTCAGATGTTCCCCAAGGACTGGTGCGTGCTGCACATGACGGTCAACAAGGTGATCCTGAACACGCTGACCGAGCTGGCCATCCCGCTGAGGGACCGCTTCCTCGAGGGAAAACACTTCAGCCAGCAGGTCGGTACACAGCAGGTTGCACGCCATGGCACTCTGGCGCATCTGCGTTTGACTCATTTGTCTCTGGCCATATCCTGAGACGTGTGACTGGTCTGACCGCGACAGTTAATCGAATGGTGCAAGTCTATTATGTTTCCAATGGCTATCTCTCGACTAACATTGCTCATGACTTCTTTTATACTGTTACGAAGAGCTTGACTAAAGTATTGATTCAACTCGTTTCTCTTGTCACGTTATATTCAGGTTGTGTTGAGCTGTTGTCGATCGCTGTGCCTTTACCCACACTGTCCCATTCTCTATTTCAGCTGTGGCTCAACTACCTGACGCTATCGGTCACGTTCCTGACCCAGCCGGCCCTGCAGCTGGAGACCTTCTCCGAGGTGAAGCGCGAGAAGTTGCTACAGAAGTACCAGGACATGCGCGTGCTCATGGGCTTCCAGCTGCTCTCAATGTGGAGTCTTCTCGGTAGGTGGTGGTCCGCCGACTACGCTGATACGAGACGGGGCATTAGTTTCATTCATTTATTCACCAGCCTTTCATTCATTCATTCATTCATTCATTCATTCATTCATTCATTCATTCATTCAATATAATGGCTGGCCATTGGTTCACTGTCGGCCGGTGGGTCAGCTGTCGCTTAGAGGCATCTCCGGTGAGTTTTAAGCTTTGGCGGTCATTGAAGCATAGTTATTACTTTAGTCGTCCGGGCTGAGAAATGACGTGCTCGTTCACCTCGATTTGGCGACTTTGGGGCCAAAGCGTCTACTCACCTTGTCTGGCGCGGATATGAATCCAGGCGATGTGTCCCTGTTCCGTCAGGCGAGCACAAGGGCCACTTTGTGCCGGCGCTGGTGGGTCCGCTGCTGGAGGTGACGCTGGTGCCCGAGACGGAGCTGCGGCGCGCCACACTGCCCGTCTTCTACGACATGATGGAGGCCGAGCAGAACGCCAAGGGCTGCTTCAAACAGGTGGAGACGGAGCTGATCGACAAGCTGGACATCCTCGTCAGCGAGAACAAGGGCGACGACGAGTACCGGCGGCTCTTCGACACCATGTGAGTGGGAAGTGGGATAGGCAGGGGTCCACAGTGCTCTGGGCGTGGGCTGATTGAAGCATAATATGCTATTCAAATGACACTAAAAAGCTATTTTGGTGTTGATGTGTCGTAAGTGCTCTCAACCCTAGACACAAATAACTAACAAGCGTGTTTCTCTTGTTTGGACGGCCCAGTCTCCCGTCCCGTACACCCGTACACTGACTTTGTTCCATTGTAAACATTAAAATGATGTTACACGATTAACCAGTATCCGGGTGATACTAACGGCTGTATGTATTTTCACGCAGAGACAGACTTGTGGAATTGTAAGTGCTTCTTGTGATCGTTTCCTGGCCTGGCCTCCGGCCTTTCCCCTTCGTTATCTTTGGCTAGTCCAGCTGTGTGTCTCCCCGGCGTTGAGCAATATCCTATCAATTGTGCTATAGCAATTCATCGGCTGCCATAATCGTCGTTTCCGTCTGTAACGCTTTCTTGTCCATTTGTAAACATATGTATTTTGTCTAGCTGCTAGATTGCGCCTTGCACATAGTTGAATTATGTACACCTACACAAGCTCTGTGTTACATATGCGTCGCTTATTTTGATGGCGACTTCAGCCAGCCAGTTAAGATCGGTATTTGAAATAGGTGGTCATGCCCCGCGTTCTGTGGATATTATGTCGGGGTAAATGTGCTGCACTAATGTGTTCGACACAGCTCAAAACTGTTGGAAACCGAGCCTTATACTGCCAAGTGTTCTGCCGTTTGTGGTCTGTGATCCACGATACCTTGTTCCGTCCTCTCATCGTGGCCTGTTACCCCGTCCCGGCTGTGAACATCTGGTCAGTGACATTTGACAGTCATCCATAGGCACTGCCTTTGATCAGTGGTCTCTGATCCCGCAGCCTGTGACCTCTGACCTTGCTGCCTGTGACCACTATCCCCTGATCTGTGATCCATGACCCGTGACCTCTGATTTGTGACCCTGATCTGTGACCTTTGACCTCTGACCTTTGACCTCTGACCTGTGACCTCTGCTGGCCAGTCTGATGGAGCGGGTCAACAGCTGCGCGCCGGCCTGGCGCGAGGCCGGCGTGGGGTTCGTGTCGTCGGTGACGCGGCTGCTGGAGCGGCTGCTGGACTACCGCCAGGTCATGGAGGGTGACGAGAACAGGGACAAACGGATGAGCTGCACCGTCAACCTGCTGGTCAGTTGACGTTATGGAGCTGTCGGTCAGAAGGCAGTGCCGAACAGTGTTTTATTTCTGTCGGTGGTTTTAGGGCCCATAGTAGGTCATTGGACATTTCTCAGTGTATTTGAAAAATGTTTAGTGGGAGCTACAGACGTGTTTTTGCTCAGTGTTGTGGGCTGCTGTACTGTTGATATACCTACCTATCGATCAGGGCATATTGTGCGTAACTGACTGCCGTCTAATCCGCCCCCACCTCGACAGAATTTCTACAAGAACGAGATCAACCGGGCCGAGATGTACCAGCGCTACATCTACAAGCTGCATGATCTGCACGTCTCGGCCGAGAACTACGTGGAGGCGGCGTTCGCGCTCAAGCTGCACGCCGACCAGCTCGAGTGGAGCACCCGGGTGCTGCACGCCGACCTGCGCTTCCCCGTGCAGTGCGAGTGGCAGCGCAAGGAGCAGCTGCTCAACCTGATGGTCGACTACCTGGACAGAGGCAAGTGCTGGGAGGCCGGCATCCCGCTGTTGAAGGAGCTGGCGGAGAAGCACGAGACCAAAATCTACGACTACAGCAAGCTGAGCGAGGTGCTAAGGACGATGGCGAGGTTCTACGACCAGATTATGACGCAGCTCCGGCCAGAACCAGAGTACTTCCGAGTCGGGTTCTACGGACAGGGCTTCCCGCTGTTCGTCAGGGTGAGTCAGGGTACAGCGGACTTGAAATAGGAGTTGTTGTTTTATTGGTAAGCTTATTAGACCTAGACTTCAGCCTGAGGATACAATTGTTACGATCTTGGTCTCTGGTCTTCCTATTTTTGGTTGAACGCATTCGAGCACATGCACAGTGATCGTTCCTGCAATATTGTGTGCACACCTGACCAATTCATTGATGGTTCGTTCTCCGTCCACAGAACAAGGTGTTTGTGTATCGCGGCCTCGAGTACGAGCGGATCGCGGCGTTCACCCAGCGCCTGCAGACCGAGTTCCCGGCCGGCCGTGTGATGACCTCTCTGGCGCCGCCCGAGCCGAACCTGCTGAACGCCGACGGCCAGTGGCTGCAGATCTGCAACGTGCGGCCCGTGTCGCGCGACGTGGCCGGCCTGCAGGGCATCGAGGTGCCCGAGAAGATCCGTGCCTACTACCTGGTCAACGACATCGACACGTTCCGGTTCGACCGGCCCGTGCACCGCGGCACCGTCGACCGGGAGAACGAGTTCAAGGTGAGGGTCAAGGGTGAAGAGTAAGAATCTTGCGGCGACAGTGGGGCAGCAGGGAATAGATAGACCAATCATGGCGGATGAGAACAGGGTAAAGAATGGGAGGCAGCGTCTGAATGAGGACGAGTGGTAAAGGAGGATACAAGAACGGTAGAGGCTGTTATTAGCTAAAACGAATATAAGCTTTCGACCTGGACGTGTCTGCCCTGCCAAACTATGATCTCCTTGCTGACCTCTCGTATGAACTCTGACCTCTGCCCTGCCGTCTGACTGCCCGCTCAGACTCTGTGGCTGGAGCGGACCACGCTGCAGACGGAGGCGCCCCTGCCCGGTATCCTGCGCTGGTTCCCGGTCACCTCCAGCCGCCGGGAGATGGTCTCTCCGATCCAGCACGCGTGTGAGACCGTGCAGACTGCCAACCGGCAGCTGCGCCAGCTGATAGCCCAGCACTCGGCGCCCGGCGCTCCCGATAATGTCAGCCCGCTCAGCATGCGCCTCCAGGTGAGGGACGCTCGACCTTTCATGGCCCCTACCGGTGATTTAGAATGAAGTGACACAGCAGAAATAAATCGGGTGCGTTGCTTTGCCCGATATTAAAGCCACATAGAAATTAAGCGAACCAGGAAGGTTGTTTTCCTTATCAGTAATTGCCTGACGGTGCATGACCTGACCTGACGTGCCACTCCTCTCTGCTCAGGGTATGATCGACGCGGCGGTGAACGGCGGCATCGCCAACTTCCAGGAGGCGTTCTTCACGGGCGACTTTGCGTCTCAGCACCCGGAATTGGCTGCGCACATTCCGACGCTGAAGGCGCTTATACAGGAGGAGGTGAGGTCACACTTCCCTCCTCTCCGCTCATAGCTGCTGCGATCAGATGCAGGCTCCGCTCTCGTATGCATGCAGGTGCAGCTTGTGTTCCTGTTTAGGGCAAAAAAAAAGCAAAAAAGTAGTTCCTCGCCCTGCGATGAAATAGTCGTTTTTCCGTGATCTGACCGCTGCCCCGTGATGTAACATGATGACGCCCCATGATGTCCCTTGCGATATGTCTGACGTTCCCGTACTCCCGTCCTCCAGCTGGCGATTCTGGAGCACGGTCTGAAGGTGCACGGCGATCTGGCGCCGCCGGCCGTGCAGCCGCTACACCGCCGGCTGCGCCAGTGTTTCCAGCAGCTGCGCCAGAGCGCGGCCGCCTCGTGCAGCCTGCCGGCGGCGGCCGACTCTCCGGGACCGGCCCGGCTCAGCCGGCACAACAGCCACCGGCGCAGCGGCGGCGGCGGTGGCGACAAGCCCAGCATACTCAGGTGAGAGGCCACATACACAGCATTCTCAGGTGGGGCGAAAAACCCGGTATACTCGGGTGTGGCGACGTCACCCTTATGTGTGTCGTCCACTTGCTCCAAATGCCCTCCAAATCTGAATCTACCTTCCCTGTCTCTGTGTAAATGTCGACCGATATCTGTGCAATGTTAGCTATTGTCTGATCAATGCTCATCACCTAACAATTGATGTGTATTATCTGACCATCCCATGTCCGTTTCCCGTCGGCAGCACGCCCCTGCCGCCGGTGCCGAACGAGAAGCGCGCTCCGGGCGGCGCTGCGTCGTCCTCGTGCCGCAGCAGCCGCTCGTCCTCCTCGTCGTGCTCGGTGTACGGTCACCTGGTGGCCGGCGACTCTGTCGAGGACGACTCCATCTACTCACGGCCGTCCGAGTGGGCTGACTCGCCGGGACGTGGGTCGTTGGGCTCGCAGGGCAGCGCCGCCGGCCGGCGACACGACGACTACATCGTCATGACCTGCGGCAAGGGGTCAGTGAGGGGGTGGGCATGGATGAACGGTGGGCGGAGATGTTACTGGCAGTGATAGTGTATTCTGTCAGACCAGGTTTGTTCTCGCATATGCGGAGGATATGAATTGTGATTTACACTTCTTGACTTTGATCTGTTACCTATCTTAATTCGATTCAGTACTCAGTGACCTGACCCGACCTCTGACCTCCAGGGACGGGGACGGTGTGCCGGACCGGCCCCCGAAGCGGGCCTCTGACGCCCGATCGTGGACGGAGAGCCCTCGACTGGGCGGCCGGCGGTCCCAGCTGAGTGACTGGGACCCGGCCGCGCCGCCACTGCCTCCCAAACGTAAGTCTCGAACGCTGACCGATTGACGCTGGGGAGATGGTGACGATGGTAGGCTCTGCCGGTAGCCGCTGCTGAAAGTAATGTTTTCTGCTTACTTACTATGTGCGATTCATGTGCAGTGTGTCTCAACAGCTGTCATTTTCTGTCAGCTACCCATGTTTAGACGCGGTCCTGTTGTGACCGCTTATCCCGTCAGTCGTGCTGACACACTGTTTCGTCTGCCACAGCCCCAGAGAAGCGTCACACTACCTCCGTATCATCAGTCACCTGTAATGGGGTCTACGAGAACCCGCCCTCTCTGCCGTCACGCTTCTCCAAAAAGGTGAGACTCCGAATTAAGCCGAGAAGCTCTCTAACTAAGATGCCTTGTAGATATTTGTACATCTGGTTCTATCGATACTCGGAACCACCCATCTGCTTAAAAACTGCCAGAGACATGATTTTTGTCTTCGTTTTGTCAGATGTTTGTGATCTGTCATGACATCTGACCCGTCTCCGTCCTGCCAGGTATCCGCTCCGGCGCTGTCTTCTTCAGGCGCCGAGCGGGAGGCGGGCACGCCGCCGCCGCTGCCGCCCAAGCTGCCGGCCTCGCCCGCCGTGTCGGTCAAGACGCGCACTCCCTCCCCAGCCACGGTCTCCCTTCCTACCAGCGACCGCGGCAGTCTGGCAGACAGCGATAGTCCTCCCGACTTCGAGCCGCCTCCCCCGCCGCCGGCCGACGGCGCCGTCTCACCGGAGCAGGGCGACGGCACCGACTGCGAGACGTACAAGGTGCTGGACACGGCTCAGATGCGCGCCTACAGACAGGAGGCCAACTACAAGTTCTTCGTGTCGCCCGGACGGATCTGCGCCGATGTGGCTGGGATCAACGAGCGGCCGGAGTCGTGAGCGGTCCGGCGCCGGTCTCTGCTGCTGCGAACTATCCTGTATACCAAAGAGCTGTGTGCGCACTGCGGTGTGCAAGCGTGCGTGTGAACGAATGCCTCCTTGCGTATTCGTGTGCGTGTGTATATGAGTGCGAATATGCGCCGGGGCTAGCGTCAGAGTGCGCCGCCTCCGGCCGGAGCTAGTCACGTGTGCCTGCTGACCTGCGGCGCCCGCCTGTGATAAAAAGTGCGCGGCGCAGAGTGTGCTACAGTCCCATATCATACCGTGCGCGTCGTCGCAGCCCGCTGAGGACTATCTGCTATATTGGCGGTGTGCTATTGCGTTCTCCCGCAGCGGTGCGCCGTGTGCTACAGTCCCATATCATGCCGTGTGCCACCCGGTGCCCGGTGTGCCGTGCCGTGTCCGTGCCGCCGCGGCGACCCGTTTTATCGCCGGATATGTGCTGGCAGTGGTGGCAGTGCTGAGCGCCCACTGCGCCTGTTTACACTGAATTGAGCCAATATGACGAGTATTTGTATGTAGTGCGAGTTTTGTGGGGTGCTGTCTCGACAATGGCGGTGAATGCCGCACGCATTGGAGGGCGGTGAAGGATAATTTCGAAAAATAGGGCCAAATATCTGACGCACCATAACACCGCTTTACTTGAGAACTCAAATTGAGTAGGCGGCTAACGTAACAACCATTTCTGGCCGACCTTCCGTCCCTCCTTTTGTGATGGATAACCCAGATTTTTGCACGGGAAAGGCACCCGAACCAATGTGAAGACATGACATGTTCTGCAATAAGAGCCTTTCATTGCTTGCATCATTATTCGGAAAAAGATCCAATTTTTATGTAACAATATCCGCGCAGATGCCTGCAACACTACGACTGGTCTGCAGTTGGTATTCATCGCACGGGTACAACGCTACAGGCTTGTTGGCCGTGCGCCTTTATCTCAAACGGATACAATAGCTCGCAGACTGGGTTAACTGTTGTCATTTACACTCGTGTACCTTACACACGCTTATCAACGACACAGCACTTAGACAGTTAGGTATATTACGAGTTACAACACTGTTATCACAGGCGGATACGTTACGAGTTACGACACTTCTCCCACAGACGGTTACGACACTGCTCTCTCATTCCGATCGGCGATCGCTACTACTCTCACAAACCGGGCGGTGCCGGCAGCGATTGTAGTTACCTACTCCCGGCCACCGCCCGCAGGAGAGCGGCGCTCTGTCGTTCGTCACGGTCCAGCGCGCGGCCGCCGCGCGCTGGGCAGACTCGCGGCGCGGCTCCCCCACTCACCCCGTCTGGTGTGGCGCGCGAACAGTGTGTGTGACTGTGAGGAGCGGCCCACAGACACCAGAGGATTTTGCTAAACACAGGTGAGATGCGGACAACAAAGAGTCCTATCAAACGGCGAGCTGTCATTGACAGCGGCTCGATCACAGAAAATCGTGGGGAGTGTAAACCGTGACACCGTTATAGACGTGATGTTTGTGAAAAGGTTCACCACGAAAAAGGCGCTTCCGTGTTCATCCAAACGGTTTGTGAGAGGATAACCGTGCCCTGAGCTGATGTTTATGAGGGAGTGGGCGGGACGGGCGGACGGCTGACGATAAGCTGAATTGTAGAGTGACCCAGGCCGATGCCGCACTGTTCCGAGGAGTGGCTCGCGGTCAGGCCCACTTCCTGCCCGGTTCGTGATCCAGATCGGGGTCACGGCTCCACGCGGAGTTCTCTGGGCCTGCTGCAGTGCGGAGCAGGCCACAGGTGCAGATGATAGATGCTCCAGATGCTGGCCGATATCGCTAAACGCTCTGCAGATCAGCGATTAGCACTCATCCCAGGAGTAATCACTATTCCGCACTGATTGGAAGGCTGATAGATTGATTTATTGGTGAAAATTTTCACTGGCAAACATCTATAGGTAAGTATATATGTAGGACGTCAGACGTGTTTATAAAAAAAAAATGTTTTTGTGATGGCTATGGATGCTTGATCCTTAAATCGGTTTGGACGGGACGAAAGAGGCAGTAGAAATAAATGCCGTATCTCAGCGGGCGCTGGGCCTCGAGATCGACTCTCACCCCGTCCGGCGATTGGTGGAATGGAATTTGGAGGAGGTCCCCCTGGGTGGCATCAGAGTCGACATCGCTAATATTGTCCATTCGTGGCCCGTCAGCTATTTCTTCCGATTCCGATATAGGTAAATGGATTGTAGAAGTCAGAACATCCAGGGAGACTGACGGTCGTCGTCGGTGACGGGCCTAGCTCGCTGAGAGGACTGGAGGGGAGGCTGACGGTCGTCGTCTCCAGTCCAGGAGACTGCAGCTGAACTCTGTGTGAACTGCAGAGGAGGCTGACTGCCTCTGTTCGCGGTCGGCCGGCGCCGTGGGAGCGTTCGGCCGCAGCCCAGCTGACGTTTTGGGTACGACCTGGCCCGGTAGGAGGCCGCACCGCCGCATACTCCCGGCAGGAGAGCTGGCGCCTGGCGCAGTCACCACAGAACGTGGTAATTACCTCAGGTGTTACCTCAGCTCGGAACAGTGTGCCCAGGTTTCCCGGATTACCGCAGATCAGTTCCAACTGCTGCCCTGACATCTCCTGTCGCAGTCCCATCTGAGCCATCAGGCCCGAGCGGGGGACAGCCCTGCAGGTGGCGCTGGAGGCACCACGATACGGCTGACAGAGGACGCAGGGCACCTCCTCTGGACCTCCCTGGTCCGGTAGCAGCCAGGTCCACGAGCTGTGACCGTCCGCTCTCTTGGACTAGGAAGTAGTCTGTGGGATAATCGCCAGTTCCCACGAGGTGACCACCGCTCCCTGTCGGTTACGTGTCTCGGTGGTGCAACTCCCGGTCTGGTGGGACGGGACAGCTCGGCCGGCGCGGCGGCGGGCGCCAGTGGGCGTGCCGGTCCCCGGTGGGCTCGTGAGTGGCCCGTTCCACACCGCTGCAACCGCTCTCACGGCGCGAGAGCGGCCCGGCGAGAGACCGACGGTAGATAACGGTACCGCTCACCTGCGTGGAGCCCACTGTTCGACTGTGGCGGACCGGCCGTGCGGACATCTCACGCAGGTCGCAGACGAGCGGCGCCAGAATCCACAGCTGTGTCCATAGTACGGTATTACACCTTTATGACCGACTCTTTTTTTATTTTATTTTATTTATTTCGTCATCCTTCCAACAGGCTGATGCGCCCACTTACAGGAAAGCTCCTGCTCCTCCTCTTCCTTACCCTCCCCCCTAGGCTACGGCTAACGTGGGAGCCCTCCCCACTCCTGGTGACACAGCTGGGGACGACGCCCGCGGGACGGGCGACACCGGGAATCGAACCCAGAGCCACCCGCACCGCGGGCCGACGCCTTAACCCTATTAGTGGCAGGGGGGTTGTTTTCATCCACCCCTCAGGTTTTTCGGGAATATCTCCGAAACCGCTGAAGCTACGATGCTGAAATTTTCTGACTTTTCCTAAAACTAAATTGGGCACATTCCCTGAAAATTTCAAGTTCATAACTTTACCAGGGGCGGCTCCAGAGCACTGGGAATTGGGGGGTCCTATTCGTGAAGCGAGTCATTTGGGCGAAGATCACGATGCTGATGAATTATAACTGTATGCACCAGTTTTACGAACAGTGAATGAAAGGTATCATGTGATAACATATACAAAGTTATTGTGCATCCTCTTTTGACACGTTTTTGCTATAATAGGCGGATCCAGGCGTCCAAAAAGGGGGGTTATGTTTTACCTCCCAACATAGGTGCCCTGACACCGCCTATGCATGACCAATACAATTGTAGTCGTTCTCTCATAAGAAAATTGTAACATAACAAGACCATTACCACTTTTTTAGAAACAGTACCAACAAAAACCTTATTTACTATACTTTTTGTGTACCCCCAATCTCAATGATCTGTATCCGCCTATGATTTTTGAAAATGCATATTTTTAGGATCCATGTGAATTCCTGGTTCATTCTCTATCGATCGGCAAAAGTTGCGTTAAGATTGGTTCAGAAACCTGGCCGTGATAAACAGTCTAAAATGTATCTGCAATTTGCCCGTTTTTACCCCCTCTACCCCCCTATTGACATTTTTTAATTTTTATTTTTTAGAAATGTAGATCACGTTGAGCGAAATCGAATGCCGTTAGAATTTTGAAAATCGACCCGTTAGATCTCGAGATATCAGGGGGGGGGGGTCGTAAACAGCCCCCCCCCCCCCTGCCACTAATAGGGGTAGCCAGGAGCCTGCCACTAATAGGGTTAACCAACTGCGCCACCAGGGCCAAATTCTCCTGCTAACGGTCCTTTTAGAAGCCTTACCCGCACTTACTGTCCAATGTCCATCACATATCGTCGTCTTCTGATGGGGGGGGGGGGTGTGAGCCCCGGATCGTCCCCGATGGGATGATCCGGGAACCGGGGACCGTTCAACTTATTAATTTGTTTTAAACGGTGCTCAAGCTCATGGTCCCGTACTGCCGTTTGCTCTACCTACATGTTGCATTTAATGAGGGATGCTCGCTCGGAATATAAATATTTTGTGTGCAGGTTTGAACCCCTCTCAGCCGGACCTGGCCGTGCTGCAGTATCGTCACAACTGTCAACTTTGATATAATAGCTGCGATCTCTTGCACGGTTGGGATCCGTATAATCATGCTGTAATCGCGGTTTGTTTACCTTTGCCCATTCAGTTGCATATTGTCATTTTACCGGATGTGCACTTGGTACTGCTTCCTTCTTAGAAGTATAACCACAGCCCTTGCAAGCTGACATGACCATCTCTCTCCAGTTTTGTTGAGCACAAATGATGTAAATTTACGCTCATCTAGCGATGTAAACATAACGATTAATACGGACATGTAGCCAGCATGATATTGCTCTTATTGACCCTTGCATCAGATGCGCTAGCAACCTGTGATATCGAACGCCCTGCAACCGGCGCGGGCGGCTGAGAGGGCCATTTAACGGTGTCGGCCGGCGGAGGAGGGCGCTGGTAGAGGCCGGCTGGCCGGTCGGACCGATTACAGGCCGCCGGCCGGCCAGCACGTAAACACAGCCTTAATGACCGGCGTCTGTCGTCCGCGGCGTCCGCGCCGGCGACAGGCGCCTGCCGTGTCCCCACACAGACCGGCTGACCGATGGGGGTGGCCCACTGACCGATATGGGGGTGGCCGGCTGACCGATGGGGGTGGCCGGCTGACCGATGGGGTGGCCGGCTGACCGATGGGGTGGCCCGCTGACCGATGGGGGTGGCCCGCTGACCGATGGGGCAGTCGGCTGACCGTCCGTCAGTAGTGACTGTGACAGACGGTCGGTGCTCCCGGTACTCCATATTGAATGATGGAGAGCTCAGACTGCCCGGGGGAGGGTCAGAAGTGCTTTGTACTGATTTTATTCTTTGTTCTTTCATTAAACATAACCAGCTTGCATATTGCCAGTAAAGGTGCCTTTGCATCCCGATAAGGCTCACTTGCAGCGTGCCTCCTCTCTAAATTCTGCCTAGTCTACCAACCGAGTTACAAGCTCGTCGGCCCGCCTCCCCGGGGCCAATGGGCAGGGCTCTGGTGACCCACTCGGACACTCGGCCCGCCCTCGGCACTGACACCGTTTGCCGAAACTGGTCTCCGGGCGGCTGGTGACGCCTGTTTTTAGCACCAGCCGTAGTAGCTGAGGGATGGGCGCGGAGGCGGCTCTGTTTGGTGATATAGACGCTGTTTGTCCGCCGCCCCGCGCTAACGGAACCCGTGCTCCGCCGAGCAGCGCCACTGCTCTGTATATCCATGTTTTTCACGGCCTGTTTCACGATGTGATGACGCGACATGCCCCGGAGGAGTCATTATCTGGTTCTATCGCGGCTCTCGGCCAAACACAGTACAGCGCTCTGCGCTGACGCCCGTGCACCACCGATCGTGACCGTCGGCCCCGGACGGACAATGGTCCGTGTCAGTCTTCTGCGCGAACGGCCGGAATAAAAACGGCTCACGGCAGCTGGGAAGTGTCCAACTGCATCCCGGGACGACCGTGGCACTTATAAATGCCAATGAGAACTGAGCATGTCGCAAATTTAGTTTTATTTAATCGTTTTAGCAATAAAGACTGCGGTTTACAACATTTTTGTCACAAACAGTTGAAATTTTTATCGCGCAGCATCCACTTCATTGGAGTGTCAGAACTCAGACATATACCTAATAAGTTCAATAATTGTCGAGAAGTGTAGTCTCCGTCAATTATTGACAGTCTGAGAATGACAAGAACCAGAAAATGCGATTCGATTTCGAGAAAGCACGACGTGTACTGTCACGCTTTGCGTGAGTATTTCTATTTTCGAGAGCCGCGTAAAGGTGCTGTTGCGGTTACTTGGAGACGGCAGCCGTGCGGGTGTCTGCATCGCAACTGCACGAAAAACAATCGGTGGCGGCCGAAAGGACGCAACACATTACTTCTGGTTAGGCCGATCATGAATGCACCTGTTTTCACTGAAGCATGAAATAAAGATCAGGAAAAACGAACACGACAGCCGGGACTGAAAGCTGCTAAAATCGTACATCAGACAAAGCCGCGAAATTAAAACGACGACTGGTTGCATGTGGTAAAATGTAAATGCAATAGCATGTCGGTCGTTCACCACTGCATTACCAATTCCTGGTGACAGGTCAATGTCACTTTGGATTGTTGCACATTGCTAGTCAGTTGCACCAGCACTGGCGTCACCGACCTTTCTCTTTGCGTTCCAGGCTCGCAGTTGTCGTGTTTCGAGGCAGCGAGCGAGATGAGAGTTATCGCCCAGATCCCGCACATGCACATCTACCAGAACCCAGGTAAGTCCCAGTAGGAGCGTCAGTCGGTGCTGTCGACCGTCCCGTCCCATTCCGTCCCTACCTAGTTCGTCCCATACCAGCCCACGAAAATCAGCCCTATTCCACTCCAGACGGTGCCGTCCCGTCCTATCTTGTCCCAACACATCACAGTATCACACGCCATAATCCCATTCCCTCCTATGTCCCGTCCGGTCACATCTCGTACCATACCATCCCGTCTCACCCTAACTCGTCCCGTCGCGTTCCGCCCCGCATCGTTCCGTCTCGACGCCATCCGTTCGCGGTCCCATCTCGTTCAGCCTGGCTGAGCTCATGACTATCCCAGCTCCCAGCCGTGAGACCGACCGGCGGACAGCTCACCTGAGATCCGGGCCCCGCGGCGGCACACAAGGTGACTTTGGCGCCGGGAGGAGGGGATGTTTCATTGCCGCTCGTTCGGCTGCTAAAACGGCCTGGCCACACAACCGATCGTTACAGGTGCGCCCGGTGCAGCGTGCCTTCGTGCAGAGAGCTGGCTCCCCAAGGCGATGAGGCTCACGGACATGGTTATCAGGGGACAGATGACGTGTACAGCGAGTAACGCCGGCTAAAGGACAACTTCTCCAATATAAAATGCTCGAAATCTCCATGCATGCATGACCTAAACCAATGATGGTAATTAAGCTCCTCTGCCTTTCCCTTCTAAAGTTATAATCCTCGACTACTGGACCGTGGGCGGATCAGTAGCCCGTCACCGGGCAGCGTTCCAGTGACGCCGGCAGTGACGGGGGCGGACGGCGGTGATATTGCAGGGCTGCCAGCGGCCCGTGCCTCCCGCCATGCAGTCACAAAGGTCACCGCGCGGCAGGGAGAGGGGTGCCGCGCTGCGTGGGGCGGCCGGTTAAATATACACTGAGACGGTGCGTGGGGCAGGCCTGGACGGAAAACGGCGTCATCCAGCTAATGGGCTGGACTCTGACTCGGCTAGATATACGAGACGCGGTCGTAGATACAGTTCACGATCGCCTGATATATACAGAGCGCCAGCGGTGCGCTTCATCCCCGGAGTGACGGGGATCACAGCTAAACGGTACCGATATTTCAGCTAAGCTGCTGGGAAATTGATGGAAATGACTAATGTGCTTCCGTTTATCAATGTAGGTCCTAATTTCCTGGCTTTCGATCCATCCCTCCCACAATGCCAACTTATCCATTTTCTCTACCGGTGAGAACATAAATGTATCGAGCTCTGAATCACGGGCAATGTATCAGGCCGGAAGCTCCGTAAATACCACTTCCACAATGCCATGAGATTGGGATTGCCCGAGGCCGTTTCCCGGAAAGTTTTGCAGTTTTGTATTGCTGCACACCTACTCGAAGGCACTTCAGTTGACGTTGATATCTCAAGAATTTGTGCGTTTCGGTGTTCAAGGCAGGATATAGCTATCGCCCGTCATCCGGCTCCGATAAGTTTGCGTGTTCCGCCCGCCCTCCTATCAAGCGAAGACCGTGACTGGGGTCGGGGGAGGGGCAGCCTTAGCACGTGACTTATCTGGCTAAAACCATGGCTAATTCGAGATACCAATGAACATTGAAAAGCCATAAGCGGTGGAGCGTAGTCACACGACTACAAGACAGTGACGTGGAGAGAGAGTAAATGACGATTTTTGACCTCGGGTCACATTTCATTCAGCCCTCAGGGCACTAACTCATCCCATGGGTGTGACCTGGATGGGGGGGGGGGGCTCGGTCGGCCGGTGGTGTTGTTGGGAAATCACGCCATACCACGGCATTATCAGCAGATTGGCATTGTCAGCGGACGCGATACACCGCTCGTCTGATAGAGCTCGACGACGACGTGGCGCCGGAGCTCGGGGCGGCAGTTCCGACCGTGAGGGCTGACGGACCCCCGTGCAGGTGACGGTACGCGAGGTGCGAGTCCTCCGTGGGAGAGTGCAGAGCGCCGGCTGCCGAGAGGCGTCTGATGAATTAGAGCAGCTGTTTGTGCGAAAGACTCGTGAAGTTTCTGAGTTAAACGCACGGGACTGAGCGTTGAGACGAACTGTGTCAGTGTCAGTCAGCCATGTCGCTCCCAACAATACCGGATATGGACGAGACCTTTGATAGAGCAGAGCTTCCTAGCCCTGAAGTAAAACAGCTGCATGACAGTCTGATACAAGGTAAGCGCCGCATTGTTCAGATATGTTTAATTGCTAAAGATACAAATCCAGGTAGTTATGAAAATGTAATTCACTTCACGCAACGTTTACGCCTCCATGGCTGTTTCGATGCACCTTTGAAGTCATTTAAATGGTAGAGTCGATTTAAGTCTCCTCACGAAAGATGCCAATCAACAATGGCGTATCAACACCTTGTTACCCCTCCCCTCCCCATCCGTCAATTACCGCACTGCGACGCCACGCGTCCCTAGGGATCAGCGCACCTGACGTCAGTTATATAGAGCCACAATGGGCCCATGTGTTTATTGTCGCTGGCGTCAGAACGAATGGGGGCGGATGTTCGCTGCCATGGCCGGTGTGATGTTTCGTATACAGATATCCATCTCGACGCCTCCCCGCGGCGGTGGAAAAATGACCGTTTATAACGCGACATTAACAGGAGGCGAGATTTGTGGTGTTTAATTGGAGGCACCTGTGGAGAGAAATATAGGCTGGCTCGATGACAGCCCACCTACTGGCTTCGATCACCTTTGTGAGGGTGAGATGTCAGCGTCATCACCAGACGACAGGGACCTATCGAACGGGTGTCAGGGCCGGGATGGGTCGCACAGTCAGCTCGCTAATCAAAAGGACACAGGTGATCTGGTGTTGGTTCATGACACCCTACTGGGCTAATAATAATAAAGAAACGTATATGGCTAGCGAAATGAACCGACGCGTGAAAGAGTTTATGAGACAAATACATGATGCAGATTGCAGAACCATTGTTAATTACCTGAGTCAAGGACGGAAGTTACCGTGAGACCGGAGCTGGCGACAGGTAGGCAACTGCACAGTGAACATTGCGCTGCACATTGCATTGCATGATATACTCGTATCATGCATATTGCATAGAACATTCTGCACACAGCACAACATTTACTGAGTTTAAGGAACGAAAGAATGAACGTCTTTTTTCTAAAATCCGCCGCGATATCTCCTAAGTCCTAGGCATTTTTAGTTTCACTATTTTGTCTTTTCGTGCCCCGTGGATTAAACAGGATAGTCAGTTAACGACCGATACATGATGAAAATAGCCAATTTATTAATTGGGCTTCAGTTCCATCAATGACAACATAAGCCATCTATGCCTGCTTTGCAAAGGAAACAAAAAAACGCACAGCTCCCAAGCAAAGTTTTTTTTTTTTAATTTGGCAAGGATGTTCATGCGCTTGAGTCAAACAAATTCCATGCTTCATTGCTTGGCGATTTAGCCAATCTGTATAAAACATTCAGCGCACAGTTAATTAAAATTTCAGCCAGGCGTCACTGGGTACGATTTCAAACAATCTATAAATGTTAGGCTAAGTTTTAAGCCATGATGGCGCGCAATGAGTCCCGGTTCGTTTCCCCTGACCAGCTCGGTAGCAGCAGGCCGATTCGGCTGTTCCCCCAGTGATTGGCTGACCAGCTGGGCGCCATTAGAACGGGCCGGCCTCTGTTTACATATACGGCAGTGGGAGCTGCGTCCGCTGACGGGTCGTGAAAGGCGTCTTATTTCACCGGTTACAGCGGGCTAGCCACCGCACGGCTCCTAGAGCGCGGCCTTAAATCTTCCGCCGTGGCTTGCATAATGATCTCAGGCCGTGGGCCGGACCAGTGCGGCGGGTAGCCGGTGGTCGCCGGTGGCTGACAGTAAACAGAACTGGCGGCCACTCCAGGCCGGCCCGGGCCCAGCGACAATCGGCCGCTCGGCGACCGGTGACCGCATCCAACGGAGCTGTAACCGCCGAGCCATGGACCCACCGACCGAGCTGTAATAGCGAGCTGCAACCACAGGTAAACCCAACAGAGCCATAACTAGCGAGCTGCAACCCAACAGAGCTGTAACTGAAGTCGAGCTGCAGCCGCCAACTGCCCGGAAGCGTAACCAACCAACCATGAGCCGACCAAAAGAGCTGTAACCGAGTGAGCTGTAACCGTGGGATGACCGCATCGAACGGAGCTGTAACCATCAAATACTGACCAGCGGGCTGCAACATTGAGGCGTGCAACCATGAGACTCGACTACTTGTAACCGACTGAGCTGCTGAACCTGGCTGCGACGGCCCAATCGGAACGAGCGAGCACATCTGTCCGGAGATCAATCAATTGATCAGCAGAGCTGAGATTTCCCACCGGCCTTCTTTCCGAATTCCAAATGCCTAGAGATCCGATCCACAGAAAGGCATTACAGGACCGCGTTACATTATATGCTATTAAGACGGATTTGCGTAAAACTACAAATACTTACTTAATTTCTTTTTTTTCACATTTGTTCAATGTGGCTGATAAGTAGAAAACGAATGCGACGGCTTTAAATTTAAATGCCGCAGTATCGAGACTGATTGATGTTTGACATACCGTAAGGTGGGGCTATTTGAGACAGTGGGGCTATTTGAGACAGTATTTAAAATTGCTATAAAATAAAAACCACTTATAATTTATGCTTAATTTTTTGCTCAGGCGATTTACTGCTCGATTCCACACCTCCCTGAGCAAAAATATCACACAAAAATCAAACGATCTTCATTTTATGGCGATTTTCAATACTGTCTCAAATAGCCCCACTGTCTCAAATAGCCCCACTTTACGGTATTCGTAAGATCTGACTGATGACGCCACATCTTTGGTTTTGAGGTATTTGGTTTTGAGTCCACTATAACCCATGGCCCCATGCAAACAGATACAACACATTTAACTACATACATAAGATGTAAGCGCATTAAGAGGCGGCGCCAGATAGACGTTTTGCCCGTCTCCGTCTCCGACGTTTCGCCCCCGTCGTTCTATCGGCCCCACTCGAGGGCGACTCGTCTGTTTTTGTGAGTGAACAGCCGCCGTCGCCTCAGCGGGGGCCGTGGAGCTCGGAGTAGGTAGGTTACCGTAGATCCAAATTGTAGGAGGTGGCACTATAAGCATTGCGATGCTTCCTTTTGTTTCCCATATTATGCTCCTGCATGCCATATTGCAGGGCAGGCCCAGTGACACTTGAATACCTGCATTTGTATCTTTTTTTGCTGCAGTTCCTAATTAATTTATTGCTCGCTCGTTAACTGGTTCTATAATACTTATATCATCTGTGTTAGCTGACATTATTAACAAAAGTATGTGAGGGGCTCCAGGATTAAACGTTAATGATGAATCAAATTTTATTGAACAAAATGAAACATAAATATTTAATATAAAATAATATTATGGACTGGACAGATCCATTTGCTTGGAATACCGTCATCTTTTACACTTCTTCCATGTCTCGTCACTCGAAGCGCGGCGCACTCAGTTCGATCTTTTATTCCTGAAAAGCAAATTCCTGAAATTCCTGAAATTCCTGAAATTCCTTTACTCTGGACGCATCGACTCGTCTTTTTTATTAGTCTCGTATGCACTACATGTACCAAGTCGTCCGACACGGAACGTCCAGTTGTTTAATGTGCCGTTTGCTCGAGTCTCGACGGTAAAGACAGGAACTTTTACAAGGCTGGCGGCCCAGGCAAATGATTTTATCGCCAGGAATCCTCGGGTGGATTTCATGTCGGATACCTTTGTCTCTTTTAAATCATTCGTCGTGGCCCACTGCAGGAACATACCTTTTAGATCCGTGTCTTAGATATTTTAAAGTTTATTTGTACTTTTTCTATTCTTATTGTTTTTTCTTTTCATTTAATTTTTTTTTTTTACTGTGTACTTTTATATTATATCATATTATATTTCTAAGTGTCATCTATTTGCGAATCAGTGAGTGCGTGTCTTCGGGTTAGTGTTTACCTTGTGTGTGTATTTTATGATGTGGTATGACTTCGCCTGTTAATGGGCCATGAGCCTGTTGGCGATTTATTTGAATAAATAAAAAAAATAAAAAAATAAATATCAAATATTGGGAAAATAAATATTGTAGTTACGTATGTACATGCTTTACAATCACACTGCTGAGCAGCCAGCAGGTGAACGATGCAGCAAAAAAAGTGGAGCCGGCGCATCCGCGACTGTAACCGGATGAATTTAAACATATTCCGACTACGACCAATGGCTGTAAGCAGGTCGGTCAGTTGTAAACGATAAAAACCAGCCCAAATGGCGGCGATCTTCAATAAGGACATAAAGGGCAATTCGGCTGAAAATATAGTTTGTGATGTGGTGATGTGGTGCACCACGAAAGCACATGTACTTTCGCAAATGTTAGGTTTTAGCCGACTACATAGTTAGTGACAGTACTAAGTAAGACGTCTTTACATTTAATTCTGCTATATCAAAAGCGGCATGCTTTTACAAAAAAAGAGTTCCAGAAGAAGGCTTGCAGCAGGTCTTAGGAAGCCGCAAACAACTGTGGCGTGTTTACTTGAATCAGTCGCCAACCACGAGCAATGTCTGTGTCAGCGCTGAGAGAGCTCAGCCGACAGTCTGCCTGGAGATTATGTGATGTCAAGATAGGCGAGCACAATAAGAGCTTCGGTGACGGCTGAGGCAGGTCCGGCGTCTGTGCTGCAACCTAGAGAGACATTGCTGAGACAGCACAGAGCGAGCAGGGCAGTATCATGAACACCGGCTGACGCCGCCAGTAGCTCATCCGCAGGGCGTCAATTTGCATCGGGAGATGTTTGACTTATCTACGGCGATGCCTGTTGGATGTATCCTGCACCGTCGGCGGATATCGCCTGACCAGTGGTTTGTGTGAGGACCGGTTCTCGCTCAGGTGCTGCTATTAATGCGGAGAGATGACACTCAACCCGATGGAAATGAGCCGGCCGATTGTTATTCACGGCAGGTGCTGGCTCACCTCCGGGACCGGATCAGGTGCCACTCCTGTCACGGGATTGAAGTGACTCTGAGCTGACGGCTGTATCGGACGGCAGAGCCGACACGACTCGATCGGACAGCCCGACACGACTCGATCGGGAAAACCGACACGACTCGGTAGGGCAGCCCGACACGGCTCGATAGGACGACCCGATACGACTCGATCGGACAGCCCGGCACGACTCGATAGAACGACCTGACACGACTCGATAGGACAGTCCGACACAACCCGATCAGGTGCCCAAACACAGCCGATCGGGAGACCGACACGACCCGATCGGCAGACCAAACACAGCCCAATCGGGCGCCCAAACACAGCCCGATCCAGAGACCCGACGAGGCTCGATCGGACGACCTGAAGATCGGATGGCCCGATCGGTAGGTTGCGGCGAGACCAGAAAAGGCCATCTGCCAGTAGATACTCGGCAGTAGGCACTTACTGACGTGTAGCGTGCAGGTGCCGATCAATGGAAGCGTGTGCTTAGAAGGAGGCTTTACCCTCCATTGCGTCGCTGCTAGACAGTGCAGCACGGATTGCGTGCCTTCACTCGGCGGAAATAAGTCGCCTCTGCACAGAACGTGAGCTGATCAGCTCGGCCATTTCGCCGTAAACACTCTAATTGTAATACGGCGGCTTTGCGTGCGGAACGTGGCGGGCGCCGTCCATCCTGTAGGTTCAATCGTATTTCCCCGGTAAGTTGTTATTGAAAGCCTACAGACACGGGCGCGCACCTGTAATACAGCGATATGCCGATTTAGGCAGTCGGCTACGAGCTCAAACACCTGGCGAGTTGCGTCGAGCGATACAGATTGACGTGTGTACCTATCACTGCCAAATCTCTGCTGTGCGAATCCGTGATACTTATAGCCCTTCAGCTCGCGACATGGTCAGTGCATTTAATATACCGATTTAGGCATTTGCAGAATCCATGGGTCGTTATTAGCACTCAGCTACCAAAGTGGCGACGGACTGACCTATACGCAGAAGAAACGGAAAGCGCAAGAAGCGTCCTACATACTACTTGGACTTCAACCAGAAGTTGACGTAAGCTCAGAAGTAATATAATGGCTGACTGCTCTGAACACTTGCCATAAATAGAGGCAGTGTCACCGAAAAGGGCTGCAGTACCGCACCGGAAGTACCGGCGGTACAGCGATAGAAGTGGCGGCGCAGCACCTGCCGGATGTAGAGGCGGCGCGGCCGGAAGTAGCGCTCGCCGGAAGTCAGTGCCGGCGCGCCAGTCTGTGTTTTGCCGGCGTGTTTTCACTTTCTATGAGACAATGGCCGGCGGCGGGGTGCGCGGGAGTCGACTGAGCGAGCTTTCACTGAGTGCGACCCATTGGGTATGTACTGAATCCCTCCCCTCCATGGGGCACCAGCCCGGCCGCCGGCTGTAATTATACTGGAGAGAAGCTACCTGCCAGGGTCTGAATTATATCGTATGGCAGCAGTTAGCGCCGGAGTGGCCAGAAGGCATAAAACCGTCGGCAATCAGATTATCCCGATAACGGCGAGAGTGACAGGAATAAGACGGGCGAAAGAGTGGCCTGTGGAGAGAGAAAGAGAGAGAGAGAGAGAGAGAGAGAGAGAGAGAGAGAGAGAGGGTGAGAGAGAGAGATCCCAGTCTCTGATTTGGAACAACAGACCTGCTATTCACCCAATACATCGCGTATGGCTTTTGGCCCAATAGCTGAGACGGTATATGGCCCACTATTCCCATTACGCGCCAAGCCAACTGCCGGCACATGCGCTGCTCTAATCGACAGCGAACTGCAGTCCTGACCCATTTGTCGGTACGTCAAATCCAGTGTCGACAGTGCATCAGTCTGTACCGGTCTGCCTGTTCATATCCGGCTTGTCGGAGTGACTCGCTATCCAACATTCAGCTTCCTGTCTTCTGTCTTGTTTCATAAGACGGCCAATATATACCTACCTCCCAGACTTAGCTCGCCAGCGACATCCAGTGCTCTGGTCAGCACATCCTCAGTCTGTGTTCCGGTCAAACTGTTTCCCCGTCCGTCTCCGCCGCTCTTCGTCAGTGTCACACGGCTCTCGGCGTCTCCTCCACACGACTCGTCCCGTCACCGTCACCGTCGCCGTCCGGTCGCCATTATTACGCCGTGGGGTGGGCGGCGCCGACCGCGGCCAGCCGGCTCCTAGTGGCCGCGTCGCGCCGCCGCTCGCCCCAGTCGCGCACCGGTGGCCGACAGGAGAGGTGTGTCTCGGAGCCTCTCTGTGCCCTCTCTCCCTCCCTCTGTCCCCCTCTGTCTCGGCTGGTCCGTTCCACCTGACTGAACAGCGGCAGCAGCAGCAGCAGCGGTGAAGGCGGCCAAGCAAGGTGAGCGCGCCCGCCGCGGTGGACTGAGTTTATTATTTCGTACTGTGGGTTGGAGGAAAAATAGCTGTGGGACTTCAAAGAACTCCCATACTACCCTGGATGGATCAATTCTGCAAAAAAAAAGAGCAAAAATGTTTCATTCGAAAATTGTGTCCACGAAGGATGTTAAACGGTTACGGTTGATTATTATTTTACAGTAGCTCGGAAAATGCTGAAACTAAGACAAAGTAGGTAACGTAAACGTGGATACCTATATTTTAGATGCCATTGCTCTGTCAATCATCATAGGACGAAACGGGGCGAGGTAAGTATGCGGATAAACGGCTTTCCATAAACGGTTGCCGATACGTAAGTCGTTATAACTTGTGCTCAAAGTTTCTCGCAAAAGTAACTCATAAAGCAATTGTTTTGTTTTCCAAAACATCAATGACTTGCCCCTCAAAGCCATGATATTGTTAATATCTATATTTTCATCGACGCAATACATTTGTATTGTGGATATTTTTAGTTTTGATATGAAACGAATGATATCATGAATCGACATAAATAACCATCTGGTAATTTGTGAGTTTTATTCACCTAAAATCACCAATGTCGAAACGTTTAATAACTTGGTGACTTTAGGTAAATAAAGCTCATAAATTACCAGATGGTTATTTTACAAGATATATTGCGCTCGCTCGCTCCGCGCTCCGCGGCCAAGGCCGTCGCGTTGGCTATAAAATGATTGAGCGTAAAATTTTGAATCGATTAGAGGTTGAACCGAGTTGATCGGACGTCTAGACTCTAGAAGCTTAGACCCATTTGCGAAAAACTCGCTGAACTTGCCAAGGTATTTGAAACTTGCCCTAGTAATTATGCTGCTAAATAAATATGAATGAATGAATGAATGAATTAATACTTGTCGTATGCCCGGTTACTTGCTAATTTCAAAAATCACCGAGTCATCAAACGTTTCGGCATGCACTGTTTAAAAAAGTGACCACATGGAGCTCTCGGGTTTGCGGTTATAACAATTAGTCTACTCATCCAGCATGACACGTATCATCTAATAACCCCACTGACGTGCTTTATCATCCTCGAAAACAGAAACAACCATTTACCAGAGCGTTACTCTGCTGCGGTCTGTTAGCGCTGCCCTCGACTGGCTGGAGGGTAGTGTGGGCGGGCCCACTGTGCTGCGGCCCAGGACAATTAGAGTGTCGTTAGGCTCTGGCTCGGAAGGAGGTGATGTCATAGTTTATACGGCTGCAGTTGAGTCAGAGACTGTCATGACGGCCGCGCCGGAGAGCAGCGGGCGGCGCTGCGGCGGCGGGGCTCTGATGAATGGACTGGCGACGACAGCAGCGCTCGGCCGGCACCGACGGCCGACCTGACCGGCGGCGAGGATGACACGAATACTGGTGGAAGGACGGCCCGGGCATAGGTGGCTGAACGGGTGTGGGGTGGAGACAAGGCATCAGGCGTTATGACTTTGCAAGGTCGTATACGTGCATACGGCGAGGAGACTGAGGAGCCGCATCAGGATGCCCCTGGCTCTCGGCCTTATGAATCAGTTCGCCACAAATGGCCCGAAGGACGATAGGCCTGCACAAGTCGTTGCTCATGCCGAGCCTTTGATAATTCAGACGAGCGGAATCTACATATTAATATGAGACCTGAATATTGAACGCAGCATTCGCTACGTGGGCTGGAGCACTGCATCACTAATATTCAATCACTTGGCAATATTTACAATGCAGATGACAAGTATTGTACACAAGTCAGTAGGGTGTCATTCGCTTCTATCGCCACCGATAGCGAGTGTTTTACGTTCGTCATATGCAGACGTCGCCTGTCAGTGTGTTCTGGGGTGGACAATGGCCGTCACGGGGCGGCGGACTGACATATAGCTGCCAGCGCTGCCTGTCAGCGGGTCGGACGTCAGATCGCTACGGACGGACAGCGGCGGCGGCTCTGACCGATCCTCCTGCCGAGGAGAGAAAGAATCACGGACGGGGAGGCAGCGTAAAGCTTCCTGTCTTTCTACAGTAGCTGAGCGTTACATATAGGTACCGGAACGAAAAGCGACATGCCAAATGTCAATCAACGAATGCCCACTATATCCGGCACCGGTTATTGGGACTGCAGCCTTTCGGAGTGACTTGACCGTCCAGTAGGCAGTTGGTCGCTAAGAGAATAACCCCATATGTTGATCGGGAGCTCCATATTAATGACAGGATGTTCTCTTTCAGGAACCGCCAGGTGTTATTCCGGCGGATCAGATAATGCCCTGGTAACTGCCAGAACACCCATTGTTTGTGCCGGATCACGGAATCGTATCGCTGTGGCCTGCACACCCCTAACTTGATCTCGGCATCACCTGTGGGCATCTGAACAGTCTATAATTCTGCCCACGCCAGCCGCCGGCCGTCTATTCCCTGCAACCGAAACCAACCGGATCCCCGTATCTTTGGTTTGAACCCATCAGACCTTTCATAGTCGGCACCTGACATTCATCCCTCTCTGTCAGTCAAATTGCTGACCACCTTTACCCGGCACCCTTACCTCTGTGCCAATCACACCGATATACTGAACCCCAACCTCTCTGTCCGGCAGATCTGTCGACAGTGCTACCGGAGCCGGACTACTCGGACTCGGAGGAGGAGGTGCGCCCTGTCGCCGGGAGCCCCATGACCTCAGACAGCGCGCTCGCCACCCGCCGGCCGTCCGCCGGACCCCACTGCAGCATGGCCGGACCGCAGCAGCAGCTGCACAGGGAGCTCGCCTTCAACCAGAAAATGTGAGTAGCAGCGATAGTGTGGATGAAGTCTTGACATCCAATGACGGAGAAATCATTATCGACTACAACTTGAACGGTACCTACTTTGGCACCACATCCGACGGTAAACGGGCCGTCCTCAGTCCTCCCGGACCGTCCTCACTCCTCTCCACGGCAATTGACCTCGGTCTGCGTCCTCTCTCCCCCGGCGTCTGCAATAGTCGTGTCAGCGGCCTGCCAATGACGCGATCTGCGCTCTGATCCGTCCCGTGCCATCCCGGCGGCCTCTCTGATGTGAAGAGCGCCCACCCATGCATCACACAGGCAGGGCCGACTGACGGACCTGAGCGGCACGGTGCCCAACTGTCACCACCGTCATCGCGTGGGAGGTGCATCCAGTACATGCATGCATATTGCAATGCATAGGGATGTTCCACGTAGTTGAAACATGCAACGAGTGAGCTGCATCAATTATAAGTCAGGATGGGCCGTGCGTCATTTGCTTTGTCTGCTTATGTTTTATGGGTCTCGAAAACTCCATCCTTTCAATATTCCCAATCATACCGGTACGACTGACGTCCTGCCCTGCACCGCGCAATAGCCGTACCACTGCCGCACTAATGTCGTACCGCCTTTCCACCGGCTGCCGCGCCGGCCCGTGCTCGATATGGGCCGGCGATCCAGCTGACCTAACCTAGCAGATCGGGATCAGCTTCCTAACCAAACACCGTCAGCAGCGAACCTCCACGAGCAGCGTCAACACACACGGCTGGAGGCGGCCGCGCGCGCCCGCACGGCTCTGTTTATTTCGGTGGGCCAGGCCGGTGGCCGGCAGCAGCCGACCTTTGCGGGGTCAGCACCACCCGTCTGGTCGGGGCCAAAGGTCGCCCAAGGTCGTGGCCGTCCGGTGCGGCCGTGTGGCCTAGATCGTGCAGTGACCGTCGTGCTCGGCGCGGCCCTGGTCGGGGCAGAGGTCCACGGTTCGGCCGCGGACCGCTGCCGCTGCCTCGACCCCCACCAGCCCCGCTAAACACATCCGGTGTGGCCCGGTGGGTCGCGAGGGTCGGATCTGGACCGGAACGGGCCCACCCACCGGCCGGCCCGCGTCACGGAGATGCCACAAACACAGCACGGCCGTCACGGTCAGCGGCACTGGCCGGCGCCGGCCGGGCGAGACCGACCCTTCCGAGCCGGCGCCGGACGCGCAGGACCGGCCCCGCTCTGCACCCACACAGGGGTCACCAGAGAGGGCACCCAGCCGTGACGGACAGCAGCCTCTTACGACCGACCGTGTGACGCAAAAGCTGAGTCTGGGACTGGACTGCCTCTGTCACGGGAAGCTGCGACGTAACGGGCTGAGGCCTCGGTCGAGACCCCGATGTAGGACTCAAACAAACACAGTCCGTCGACCCTGCCGGGGTGCGGACCCAGTTCCACGGATATGACCCGCCGAGTGACGTCGGCCAGGTCTCGTGGTTTCTCGGTGCCTACTGCTTGAGTCATTACCAGAACTGGTGATTCCCATTTCTTGGATACTCAGCTCCGGGCCTGTCTCGGTTTTCCCGCATCGATGGCCACTGACCAGTGCCCAACACCAGATGTTCTCGTCGAAAGTGCAGCTTTGCGACAACTCCACGAAAAGCCAGTGACCAAATTTAAGCTACTAAACACTGCAGAACCTGCTTGGCGTGACCCATGAGTCGTAACCAGTCGCCCGTAAAAGTCTGCCACTGCGGTAAAAACCTGTCTGGCCACCCCACTGACCTCTGTGACCGCGTCTATTCGCAGCGCTAAGAGCCTGTCCGGCCACCCCTCTGACCTCTGACTGCATCTATTCACAGCGGTAAGAACCTGCTGGGTCAGAAGACGGAGCTGCAGAAGGCGATGGAGCGTCACCGCGACCAGCAGCAGCGCCGGCAGCAGCAGACAAGTCGGCACAACAACCGCAGCAGCTTTGAGATGGTCATGGAGCAGCGTCTGTCGCGCGCTGAGCCCAGGGTGAGCGCCAGAGACGAGCGAGGCTACAGCGAGTCTGCCTTCCATCTCCCATCCACACAACATAGCTTCCCTGACCGCAGCGTGTCTGCCTGATGTTCTCATGTCCACCTACCGTATATCTACCAGCACATAAAGTGCCCAGTCCACGGCACGGCCGAACGATATGTTTCCGGGATGTGCACACATTTAGTGCACTGTCATTAAGACTATTAGTCATAATGTGCACGTTCGCGTGCGCCGCGCTCATAAACATAACGCTAAAGTGGCCGTCACACTGCGTCACGACCGGGTCTACTGCGCCATTTCCGAGTCACCCTCGCCACTCCTTGACGCCGTGCTGTAAAGCCAGTCACGTGACTTCATCAGGAGCACTGCCAAACTTCGCGGGGGTGCAGCGTAACGCTGATTTCGGCGCGAGCACTGGCCTGGCGTCCCCGGGAGACCGGCGGGTCCCGGCGGCCCCGCTCTGTCTCCCTGTGTCCGAGCTCAGACGCGGCGCAGGCTCTGTCGGCCGGCTGACACGGCGCACGTATGCCCGGCGCGGCGCGTGTTTGTTGACGCCATCCGCCCGCCGTGACGGTCGCCCGTGACGCGCCGTGACGGTGTGCCGGGCCGCGTCCGTCACCGCCGGTCACGGGGAGCGGTCCCCGGCGACCCTTCAGAGAAGGCCCGCCCCGCCCCGGCGACAGCCGAGTCGGTCAGGAGCCGGCCGCTCCCCAGGGACTGTTAAAGGCTCCAGGGCGCTGCAGAGAGGTCACGACACGCACACAACACAGGGTGTGCAGTGTTTACTGATCAGATTGGCCAGAGGGTAAACGACCCAGCTGCAGCGGCTGGTCATTGGGGACTGTGTAATTTGTGTGACTAGCATGAACAGTTTACAGCAGAGATGTGCGATTCTGGTGTGGCTTCGCTCAGCTAGGCGGCACGGACATCTATGTCGTTGGCTGCAAGCCGATAAGCACTTGCCGTCTTTAAACCAGCAGCTGGCGGCTGTGAGCACCGACCTTCCGACTGACGCCCTTTACCCTGTCTCTGTTCACAGGCCGCGCCGGCTGCCTCATCCGAGAGCACACCCGAGTTCCTCCAGGTGCACGCGCGCATGAGGTCAAAGCTGAACGCCTCCTCGTGAGGGAGCGGCTGCAGCTGAAGGAACGCTCCGGTCGAGTTGCCGCTGCGCTGTGTTCTGGTGTGGAATCCGCTGGACGGAGGGAGGGCAGAGCGACCCGGCCGGACCAGTCGAGCCCGCGGGAGAGAGGGCAGCGCTGTAGTGCAGTCGCAAAGTAGGCTGTAGCGATCTGCGCCCGTCGTGATCCCGGCCGACGGGTCAGTTCGGCCCGGACCGGCTTCTGTAACAGTTGTCGTCTCGTCAGTATTTTAAGCGGCGCGGTATTGTCGAAGTGTTCACTGAGTGACGGGTCCGGCTGGTATCCGGGAGGCGATGCCTGAGCACCGGAACGTCTGTAGCAGACCGACGTCTTGAAGCGACGGAGCGACGTCTATGACCGACCAAGTCTGCGAGGGATGGACTGACGCCTGTGAGGGACCGATGTCTGTAGTGGACCAACGTCTGGGAGGGCCTGACCGACGTCCAAGAGGGACGGACCGTGGCGTTAGACCAACGTCCGACAGGGACGACGCGACGTCTGGAAGGGACGGACCGACGTCCAAGAGGGACGGACCGACGTCTGAGTGACGAACTAACGTCTAAGAGGGCGGATCCAGGTGTACGAGGAATGAATCAACGCCTGCAATCAACGGACCGACGCGCTTGTAACGTCTTACGGCGTACGGACTGACGTCTTAAAACAACGGGGTGGTGTCTGGGAGACGGCCCGAACCACAACAGCACGACCGACGTTCTAAATCGGCCAACGTGTGAGAGGGATAGGGCGACGCCTGAGAGAGCTAGGCGTCTGAGAGGGATAGAAAGACGCCTGAGAGAGTTAGGCGTCAGAGAGGGATAGAAAGGCGCCTGAGAGGATTAGGCGTCTGATAGAGATAGAACAATGCCTCTAAGGGATAGAGTGACGCCTGAGCCGGATAGAGTAGCGTCTGAGATGGACCGACGTCTGGGGCGACGACCAACGAAGGAGGGGATGATAGTCGCCTTACAAAGTACATTTACGTGTAGCTGAGCCGTGAGACGTAGCCAGCATCGCATTATACCTGCTCTTGTTATATTGTGCTGACATGTGTACAAATGTTCTGTCAATAAGCCGCCTTTTGTAAATATACACCGATGGAAAGATCTCCTGATTTGTGACTCGGTAGCATAAACATACGTTATGTATCGAGACAAACAGAGAAATGTTTGTTTTAGACTGATATACTATGAAGCAGGGCTGCGGAGTCGGAGTCGGAGTCGGAGTTGGAGTCGGTCGGAGTCGACAGTTCTGACAGGAGTCGGAGTCGGAGTCGGAGTCGATTTTGGAAACCGGAGCCGGAGTCGGAGTCGGAGTCACCGAAAAATCCATCAACTCCGCAGACCTGGCAGGGCTGCGGAGTCGGGAGTCGGAGTTGGAGTCGGTCGGAGTCGATAGTTCTGCCCGGAGTCGGAGTTGGTTTTTTGAAGCCGGAGTCGGAGTCGGAGTCACTGAAAATCCATCGACTCCGCAGCACTGCTATGAAGCCCAAAGACCAGGCATAAACACAGCTGATTCTGGTTGCAAAAGGTTAAGCATCTATCCAAGCCAGATAATATCCTATACATAGGAAATATGAGTAGGTATTAAGAGAAAATAAATGCAGTCAGTCTGAGCACATATAGGACTAACACAATCGAGCAACGTTCATATTTCACAGCATTACAATACCACTGACCGATTATCGCCTCACACAAAGGCTCAAGGGGGACATTGCGGCACATTCCTCTGTGACGTAAGGGTGTATGTATCGGCTACCCGAGCTGGGTATCGGTGCAGCTGTCATTCATGTGAAGGGCCGAGATGCTGACCAGTGACAGGTGACCTGCACCCATATAAGAAGGTGCTGAGGAGGGTCACTATAATGACGACAGCAGCTGACGTGGATATAAATGCATTCCAACCGATAGTAGACAGTTGTCTTGTTTGATGCCTCGTAGGTACACTCGGGGGCAGATTGATGTTCTACAACTCTTTATCCACCGGGTTCCTATGGCTCAGCATTGGTAGCAGCCGCCTGGTACCGGTAGACTGTGCCGCTTCACTTACTTGTCAAGCGGCACAGCCTACCCACCCGTATGACACCGGTCTGGGTCGGTGGCTGGAAGGTGATGTGGGCCGCCTGTGACGTCAGCGCAGCGGTGAGGGCCGAGCCCGGAGGCATGGCTCGGGTCGGTGCGGCGCGGCGGCTGGCGAGGGCTGGGGAGTGAGGTGGGGTGGAAGCACGGGCCATCGCGCAGCTGAGCGAGTGTAGTTAACTTTCGCGTCTCAAGGCGCCAATTATTCTACCTAACAATTGTGCTAAAGCAGTTGTTAAAATGTCCTATCCCCAAGACAGCGCCTAGCATCATACTTGCAATGCACGTTACGACACACTTAACCCGCGCCCCACTGGGGTCTGTGTATAACACGCCCTACTGGGGGGGGGGGGCTATTCATAGCCCCCCCTCCTAACTCCGAAACTACTGGGCCGATCGTCAAAATTCAAACGGCGTCTGATAGCCCCGGAAAAACTGTCGAGCGAAACCTAATTTCATTGACCTCGAGGTCACCGATGACGTCACAGGTCAGGTCAAAGTAAAAATTATTAGCATTTTGGCTTGTTCACATTTTGGGCTCTGGCCACCGTCTTACAAGTCAGATCAGGCTCATTTTTGGATACCACACTCGTGAACAGATGCTCTAGATACCTTGAGGGTACCAAACTCGTACTTTGATTTTCAGGTCAGGGTCAGGTCATCACAGGTCACGAAAATATTATATCATGCGTCGGTCACGTGACACATGTTTTATGGTCCATTTAGGCCAAACATTTCGAATTTGATGTCGTCTGTGTCATTCGAGGTCATTTTGAGTCGAATTTAGCTTTGGTCAGGTCACTTTCAGGTCAAAAAAGGTCAAATTTTGAAGTTAAAATTTTTCAACAAAAAAGGTGTCTATTGGATGCAGTTTGAGCTCAGAAACACGATGGTGCCATTTATATTGGTGTACGATGTCAAATACGTACTGAAAAATTGATTTGAAAAATTAATAATTGTGAATTTTTTGCAATAATGCGTATAACTTGGCCATTTTTGAAGATATTGAGCTACAACTTGCTAGAGTTAGTCATAATCATGCGTTCTGTCACATATAGGTATTCCGTTTTTTTTCGAAAAGTCAAAAACTTTTTGAAAAAAAAATATAAAAATATAAATTTTGAATATTATTGTATAAAATTTTCGAAATTTTCAAAATTTTGAAAATCCGAGATAGTAGTTTGATAGCGCGGTCAATTCTGAGTCCTTTCATGCAAAGAAATTGGATCTAGCTTAAAAACTGAGCTCTTGGGAGCGGTTGCCGTGGTTCAATGTTTTGCGTCGAAATCGGACGAACATGACGTCACTCTGACGTCATTTCCGGCCGACCTATGGTAGCTACGAAGTTCAAATTTTGACACAAGGTGTCAAATTGATGCAGCCGAAGGTACTGAAAGTTTGGCGTCGATCCGTCAAGCGGTTTGGAAGTTATTGCAGAAAAACGGGAGGGGGGCTATAAATAGCCCCCCCCCCAGTGGGGCGCGGGTTAAGCGTGGCAATGGGACAGCCGATAGAACTTATGTCACTCGTGCATCGAGGTGCGGAGCTATATTTTGTATAACATATTAGTATTAAGGCCTTGATTGAGCAGATTGGTGTCTATTGTTTCGCACGGCAATCGTCCAGAGACGTGGGAACTGGGGGTTATGAGTAGTGCCGCAGCCAACGCCCCAATTTAAAGCGATTATTACTGTTGCTCTAATATGTGGTCGCAGCCCCCAATAGCAAACTGTTCCAACTAGGAGCCAAAAAGTCGGCCACGCAGGGGGGTTCGAACCGGGCTTCTCCCACCGGCCAATTCACGACACGAGCGTTCATCCACTGAGCTACCGGGAATGGTCCTCGTCTGCACAAAACAAAATGAGATTCACCCGCTGACCGCCAATGACAGTATTGTGACATTTGATCGCGTTTGACCTCGGCGGATGGTCGCTGGTTTCGGCAGCTCAGTGGATTGTAGGGATCATCTATGCAATTTGTCATCTATGCGATTTGTCATTTATATTGTCACCACTTTATTAATCAATCTGTTACCTGTTGTCAATTGCGCGTCAAGTTTGTTTGTTATTTGTAAACCGGCCTGCCGCTTTTTTTTTTTTTTTTTTTTTTTTTTTTTTGGTCCTCCCGGCAAGCCAAGTGGCTATAGCCGGGGGAGGGGGAAAGTTACTAGCTGGCAATTGGCCAGGTCTTCCGTTTACGTTACGTTAATGCCGGCTATTTAATTCCGGCCCAAGAACTAAGACAAAGGCAAAAGACTACGTTAAACCGGCTCATGTGGCGTCCGGTGGGTTACAAAGCAAAGGGAAGGCCGAAAGGTGCCTGATAGGCGAGACCAATAAATTTGGTTACTTACATAGAACTTGCTGCTGAGACTTGCTGCTGATTTGTGTGCTGTTGTTTGGTGAGTGTTGTTGTGGGGTGAATTTTACCAGGAAAAGTCCTAACTAGAAAAAACCTGGTGCCTATCCAAGAGGGCAAAAACCTGTGCGTTCAGCCAAAGTACACAGTAAAAAGCCCTTTCTTTTGATTACGTTACGTTATATCACTAGGAGTGGCATTGTATGTGGATTTGCACGCAAGAGGTGTGCTCGGACTGACCAAATAAAAACCGGTCAGTCCGGCGACTCCTCTGCGGGTTATGGCAGCCGGTGTTAACCGGGTGCCGCCAGCCATGTCCCGCCCGTCTTAGGGGTTCAACTTTGGCGGCTTACATATATATATATACATTTGGAAAAGGCGACCCGTGTGTAGACAAAGGAGAACGAAAGCGAATGGAAGCGAATGGAAGCAAAACGAAGCGGATGGAGACAACGATGGAAGATCATGAGAACATCTAAATACTGTGTGCAGGGTTGCGATCATATGCTATTAATGAGATTCGAATCACTGAGGAAGGTAAAGAGAAGTTCAATTAGATCTGGATGATCATCACCCAGGAGAGTTGGGAGGTCCAGGCTGAGGTTGTGTGTGTCTGTGTAGTGAATGATGGGTTGACGGTATTGGTCGTAGTGTGGGCAGTTGAGAAGGAGGTGGGCAATGTTAAGTCGTGTTAGTGATGTGCAATGTGGGCATGTGGGTGGGGGTTCGTGCTGGTAGATGTATCGGTGAGTGGCACTGGTGTGTCCAATTCTCAGCCTGGCCAATACTGTTTCTCTAAGACGATTACTTTGATTGGAAGAAGCAAATGATTTGATTTTTGGGTGAATCGGGTGTAGATGTTGATTTGGGAAACTATTCCAGTCGAATTGGCGAAGGTCGAGAAGAGCATTTTGGATATGATTAACAATATCTTTGTGCGGACAACGAAGTGTGTTTCTTTCCGGTTTGTCTAGGCTATTTTTCGCTAGGAGATCCGCCCTTGTGTTACCGGGAATCCCCGCGTGGCCTGGTATCCACAACAGGCGGAATTCAAATCCTTTTTTCTGAATTGTAATTATATGTTTCTTGATAATGTATATTATGTGATTGTCTTCTTTTTTCCTGCTTGAGATGGCACTGACTGCCGAAGCTGAGTCAGTGCAAATTACGCTTTTTTGGATATGTTGCTTGTTGATATAGATAATAGCTAGCAGAATCGCTGATAGTTCAGCTGAAAAGACCGTAAAAAGATTATGCAGGCGAATGGAGTTTTCGTAGACTTTTGATGTGACACCAGCGCCTGTTTTGCCATTTGATAGTGATCCGTCAGTATAAAAGAAAGTATGATCGTTGTATTGATTTACATATTGTATGAAGAGTTGAGAGATTTCTTGTGAGGAGATATGCTTCTTATTTTCTGAGAAAAGACGATCTACGTTCTGGATGGGTGCCAGCCAGAATGAGGTTAGAGGGGGGATAGGCAAAATGGACGGGAAAGAAATGTTGAAATGATTAAGAGCCTTCTCTACGCGATAACTGATCACTGGGAATCTCCTTTCAGGATCGCTTGGAGGAGACGAAGAATATCGATTTGTAAGTATTTGATTAGAGGGATTCGAGGGGTTCGCGCAGCAACGAAGATAAAAGCGGAGAAGAAGATATTTGCGTCGTC